GCTCATCATGTCGGAGCTGACTTTCACCAAATCATTTCTGTCCACGCTGGACTCACGGCCGATCAAGCTTCGCGCTGATCATGTCTTCGACCCAGAGCAAATTGGACTACGTGTTCCCGTGAGTCTTGATGCGAACAATGACTAGCTTGACTCGCCGATGAAGATCAGTCTGACATGCTTTCCAAAAATGATAGTACACCCTCCCCCGCCTTTCAGCCCCGCACCCTCCGATGCCCAAAAAAGTGAGGTCAACACAGGCACCAGGCGCATCCAAATCAATCACTGTCCGTGTCAAGTCTGCCCGCAACCCTGCTCTGGAATTCCTGATCTCCAATGCCCCTCTCTCTACAACCTCTCTACAAGACATCCGGGATGCTGTACAAGTGCGCGTCACCGATGCGCAGGGAGGCCAAGTTTCGCTAGACAAGATTAAGATCTTATACAAGCGCAAGCCAGTGACTGGAACCGGGAAGACATTGGCCGAACTATTGGCAGATGAGCCCGCGATTATGGCGGGGGGTAAAGAAGTCGAGATCGGAGTAATGATCATCGGTGGCGCCCAGGTGGTTGAATCTACAGTGACTCAACCGGAGATTACAGAGAAGCGGGATGAATCACCACCCAAGCCTGCTATAGGTCCGAGTGGTGAGGAGGTGTTGCATACAGAGGCTTTCTGGGATGACCTGCAAGGCTATCTCGAGCAGCGATTGAAGGATGAGGAAGAAGCAAAACGATTGAGAGTGGTGTTCAAGGAGGCATGGAGCTCTACCAAGTAGAGTATACCTCCACGACAGCCTAGGGAGATAATGTCAGTATCGAATAATATCTGTATTTGTTTCAGTTGTTTCGCATATGTCTCTTGTCTATGATAGTCTAACAAGGCCGAATTTGCTCAATGAATGGCATGGATTCAGATGTTATACACACAACATGAGCTATCACTGCCCAAGGCGCAATCTACATGGGCGTATTCAAGCAGAACGGGGGGAAACATCCACACGAAGCAACTGATACGTCAAATATTGGGATCATTCCAAAGGAGTGCCTTTGAACCCCAATCAAGACCCTATCACAAGAGCAAATGGAACAGTATTCGAACAAGATATGTTCTAGCTCCCATAGAAAGTAGAGCATGTACCGAAACAGTTGAAGGGAAGAAAACATACACGCACGCCAGGGAATCTTTGTCGAACATGTTATCAGCGAAGTAAAAAGTACACATGTTGAAAAAAGAAATGAAAAGAAAGCAAAATCACGTAGGAGAGTATCATAGACCACACAGCGTCGGCGAACACCGTTGCAAATGCTCGGAAGAAATGGTCCGGCCAATCGCTCATCCAGTTCATAGGATCGTACAGAAAACGACGAGCAAACGCGAAGAGATACACACACAGGTATAACGCAAAAAGAATCATACAAGGGTTTTCATTCCATCGTTTCAATCATCGGGAGCAGACTTTGACCACGCCGTCTCCACCACCACCAGCGACCCAGTGGCCATCACGGCTCCATACCACGGCACAGACTCCTTCGCCACGCATCAGCCGGAAGTGGGTCACCTCCTGGGTACAGCTGCGCTTCTCGAGGTTCCAGAATCGCAAGCTTGCATCATGACCAGCCGAAACGAGCTCACGTCCATCCGGTGATAATGATAGTGAGGCTATCGCAGCAGGATGAGCAAGCATTGTGTATGTACATTGGCCTGTATCAAATGTTAGCGTATTATGGGAGACAGCAAATCCCTTTAGGTGTCACCTACCACTATTGGCATCAAAGAATCGGATGTATCGGTCCTCGTAACCACTGATTATTACACCCTCGACGCTGCTTGATCCAGTAGCTCCATGAACCACTTCTTCTTCTTCGGCAATCGCGCGATTGGGATCAAGATTGACTGTTCCATCAAATCCGACGGTCGTGGCGACGACTGAGTTCACCCCAGTAGCTGGCGTGCCATCATATGTCTCGAGACTGGCCATACTCGCAATTTCTTCGCCGGTCCGCGTGTCGTAGACAATGATAGAGGCATCCGAGTAGGAGACGACAAAGTTGACGCCGGCAAGAGACAAGGGGCTGATGCATGTTGGGGAAGGAGAGTTTGGGCGGGGGATGCGATGAACAATAGTGTAATGGAAAGCCGGGGTTGTGGCAACACTAGGTTGAGGCAAGGTTGGGATGTTGGAACCGGAGGGCATCGAATTTGAGTTCGCCCGCTGGCGAGTACCTTGACGGCGATTTCCAGTCGGAGGTGCGGCACCGATGGCCCAAATAAGGACGTAACCATCTGCTGCGCCGGAGGCCAGAAGGATACGATCCGATCCACCATATTGGCTACTTAAGTCGCCAAAGACAGATCCCATGGTCCCAGGAAGAACGCAGAGTCCCCAGACTGCATCTTTATGCTCGTGGAAAGTGGCCTTGGGATCAATCCGCTCAGGTTCCCATAAGCGCACGCTGCCATCCTGGCCACCTGAAAACACCAACCCTTTACCCAATGCACGGCCGCCATTGGAGATGTTCTGAGACGGTGAGCAGGCAGCAAGAGAAGTCACAGCGCCTTCGTGTCCGCGATGAGTAAAGGTGCTTATAACGTCTGAGCCACGACTAGAACCAGCTCCGGAGCCACCAGAAGTACCCGGGATAGTCCATCTCTTGATCGTTCCATCGTCGCTGCAAGTGCAAATTTCGGGATTCTCCGGGCTACCACCGGTGAAGATGACAGATCGAATCACATCCAAGTGGCCACGCAGCTCAAACCGGACTTGGAAGTTGGAATCTTGCTGTTGTCCGGAGGTCGCACCCGTTTCCCGGGTATTTACTGCACCATCACTCTTACGCCTTGATTCCAAACTCTTCCTTCGGTGGGGAAGAGATCCGCCCTTGGTCGACTCAGAGTGCATAAAGTTGGCATTTGGGAAAGCATCGGTATCCGGGCGATGAGGCGGGACGGTTTCAGTGACCACGAGTTCCTGCTCCGCCGGTTCGTCAAAATTCCACCCATCCACATCCTCTGTTCTTTCCTCCGTCAAGTTTTGCAGACCCACATCTTCCTTGACGACCACTCGAGGGCCCTGGGCGTCGTATGCCTGGTTTGGGCGATCTTCCACTATGCCCTGTTCGTATACTTGGGTTCGATTTTCATTTGCTGCGATGGGAGCTTGCTGCGGGTCTATTGACCGTCGATCCATGCCGTCCCGAGAAAGATACTGATTTTGAGCACGAGCCATGGCATTTTCAGAATAGTGATTGGACATCGGTTGTTGTTTTTGTAAGGCCATTTCACGTGCCATAACGTGATTCGCCTTCTGACGTTGCTGTTGAAGATAAGCCTCCTCCAGGTTCTGTTGCGACAGCTGCGAATTGCCATAAAGCTGACCTGACATGTCGGAGTCGTTCATGTCAGGTGGCGGGTGGGAGGCGGGGATCACATGGTAGGCAATCTCGTGGGAAGCTTTCGACAAATATGTTCGGACTTTGTCCATGTCCTCAATTTGACCCTCATGCTGGTTTTCGTTGTCGGGTTCTTCGTCATTGTCATGATCCGTGCTCGGCTTGGGTCGATGCGCTGGTGAATAACTCAGTTAATATTCCCACGTCGCGTGCTGGCATACAATTGCGAGTCACATACCTTTTAGGAAGTTGACACTTTCACGCGCAGTATCTTTGGGATCTTTAGAGTCTTCGGACTTTTCGTTGTTGGAAAGCTTCTTGACCTTCTCCCTCTCTCTCTTTAGGGCGGTCTCCATCAACCGAACATGCTTCCCAAGGGACTCATGTAAGCGCTTACTCGTGCGCAAATCACCTTCCAATCGACCAATGCGAGACTTCATCTCTGCCCGTTCAATCTCCCATGCATTGCGGTCGCGCTCATGTCGGTGCCATTCTGTCTGTAGGAAGCGCATTACACCTAGAAGCGGTTATCAGTCAATGGCATTCCCAAAATCAAAATGGATCTATGCTCACCCTGTAATGTGTATTCCGTCCCCTGTGGGCCATTCGAACCATCCATGGCGCCGGGCATTCCTCCGATCCCAGCCATGGCTGATGGAGACTGCCAGGACATGAACAGACACAGGACGGGTCGAGGCTCAGAAGGGTCAGAGCACTGCAGAAGGTACCAAGGGTAAAATCAGGCCAGTAGTAAATCAAGTGACGTGTAAGGTGCGAGCTTTGATTTCTCCTGACCCCGGTAAATCGTATCCGCAGTAAGCGAACCAAGTCCCCCTAATGGCGACGGCAAGGAACCACGTTCCACACCGAGTCAACCTGTGAATGAGGTGACCTATGGAGGAAGATCCAAAGGAGAGGAGCAAGGTCGGACAATGATAGGAGAGTTACGAGGATGAGAATGTGCCTTCACTGATCTTTTGTTATGGTGAAGATGGCCTCGGGGGGCCGCTGACCGCCTTCTAGATAGAGAAGATTGGCCTGCACGCTAGTTCCAGCCCTGGAGGTATGATAATTTGGTAAGCAATTGGATGGATTTGGAGGGTTTTCGTATGAAAGATGGACAGGAGAGAAGTTTTGATGTGAGAGAAGATTCAATCAATTCCATAAGAACAATCAAAGGCTGAGTTCTGCAAATGTAACTAGCAAAGTTGAAAAGATTGTTAATGCTTAAATCCTCAGGCTCCAACTATATGACCCATGGAGTTCACTACAACGTTGAAGTATATAACTACTCCACAGCATAGATGCACCATAGACTTGAATGTTACAATTGTGGGATGTGTATAAAATACTCAGCTAGAGTTGACATTGATATCGAGTTTGATTGCTAATTCACTCTTGTCATTCCCCAATTAGAACGATATATTTCGGCTACTCTAGGTGTATGTAACGTTTTATACTCCGACAGCAGGAGAATGGAATAACTATAATTCAACGAACGACGAACGTCTCTCATAAAGACTCATTCGAATAACTTTTTCAATGCAAAGGCTAAATTGGCTCGTGGTCTCATACAATTAATTAATCATGCTATGGTACATTCTCCTGATCTAGAACTCAAGTTCCTCCACCTCCATCCCACATTCTATACACGTCTTAACACCAATTCCAGTTTCTGGATTATCAATGGATCGGCCCCATTGATGAACATGCTTCCGCCCAGAACCGAGATCGTCGCCAAAATCTCCGCCCGAAGCACCTTGACGATTGCGTCGGTAGGCCTCTACACGTGTGCGTTTCTTTAGCTCCTGCAGCTTCGTTTTGAATTTGGCCTCCCGTCGCCGTTTCTTGTCATTTTCTCGCCGCTCGAACTCAGCATCCAGCGCCTCCGTTGAGCCCCATTTCTTGTCCGAAAATGCGTATTCTTCGACCTGGTACCGTAGATACAACATCATGCTGTTCCATGTAGACTTGTGTGGATTCGGACGCTCGAGCCGTGGAAGGAGTTCTTCGTCTCGGAGTTCGGCTGTCCGCAGGCTGATTAGCACCTCTCTCTTTTCATAGCTGACAATTAGGTACTCACGATCGGTCAAGAGATAGTCCTCTTTGGCTTCCGTCTTGGTCAACAAACTGTATTTCTCTGGGTGCTTCTCCTTGCAAGCATGACAGATGCAACACTTTAGTTCTTCTTCCCATTTCCAATCAATTTCGAGACTGCCACATTCACGACATGTCTTCTGCTTGCTTTTATCATCTAGGACACTTAGACCCGGTTCAAAAGGCCCCTCCCGGTTTCGCTTTAGTGATTGGAGTATCTGATGGCGTTCCCATTCCTTCTGCGTCATATGTGCTGGCATTTGCATTTCTTTACCATCCGGCACGTGCAGTTGTTTGTTGAACGGGTCATCCTCTTGTGTTAAAAATCCACCCTTCGTGTCAGTCATCTTGCTAAAATCGTAGTCGACGTAGCTTGTGAAGTTTCGGGCTGGCTTGATCGAGTCCAGTGGGCGATTTGAAGAAGATGCATCACGCATATTAGCAGGCTGATTGGATGCCGCCATCGAGGTGAACGAGCGCTTGGCGCCTGTTGCAGGCTGGGAGGTATTTGGAGCGGCTTGGGATAGTTCGGCTTCACGTTTCTCCCGAAGAGCTTTGGCTTTCATGCGATTAATTTCCTATCAGCAGGACTGGTTAGTTTTGATTGACTATGTCGCAAGCTTGGAAGGAACTCACCATTCTTCGTTGTTGTTCTGGAGTGATAGGAGCGCGGGAAAGCTGTCCTGCCCCCGAGCCCTTGGACTGCGAAGGTGGGGTCGAGGGCTGTTTGGCTGACATTATGAGATTATTCTTTCGACCAGTGGACAGTAATGGCCGTTTTCGATGTCCACAGTTTGGGTGATATGAGTAGCAAGGCGGAAGGCGGCCAGACCCCCGATCTCCCCATCACGTGATATTCGGGTTTATAGCGCGACGTCATTGCCGCATCCCAGAAGTAAACAGGAACACTGAAATCAATATTTTGGAGTTATCAGCCTGAATTGGTAAAATCGATTAAACCGAGAAGCTATGAGTCTGCAGCCGGATAATCAAAGTCTTCCTCTCGATCCTGGCCATACAAAACCTCACAGACGCCCCCTACCGGCACGTCCATGACGGCGTCGGTTCCCTCACTCCAAATTTCTCGCCAATTGACCTTGCGATTTTGAGGCCCCATGATCTGATAGGATGTGGCACCGGGCTTCATCTTGGTAGCACCACCGGGACGTCTCCGCGCCTTCCCATCAATCACCGATACATTCGCAACCTCATCAACAATGTTCTCGATGCTGTGCATGGGCAAAGTAAGGTAGCCTGTATTATAGGTGGCGAGCGCAGCATAAATGTAGATAAGTAGCATCACCAACCATGCGGGGATCGCCAGCGACCACCAACGGTTGGGATAATAGTAGATGCCTAGCTGGTGAAGGAATGGTGATGGGAGATAAGACCATAGGAGATAAAACACTAAAGTTGGTCCGGTGAGTATGCGGGAGACTACAAGAGATTGAGCCGGCAATTTTCCATGCGACTTACAAAAAGCCAATGATGAAGCTAGGTATAACACAAAGCCATAGTATTCATAGGTAGGAACCTTGGGACTGGCGCGCGGAACAGTGGTTGCGCGACGAGCTGACTTGGCGACTGCCGCCTCGGTATCGTTAGGAGTCTCTACATCGGAACTGTCCGGGGTAGTTGGGCGTGATGTAGTAGTCGAGAAGGGAGGCCGAAGAAGAGAAGTGAGGGAGGGAGAGGGCGGTAGAGGGGTGGGTGGACGATTATAGAACGGAGGCGCAAATGCATTGGGGCCATGGAGAGAGCTGGAGGATTGGCGAAACGGATGATTCCGCTCAATATTAGAAGAATCATCGGAGTCTGTATCAGAGAATGATTGATGCTCTAGCGAGTAGTGCGACTGGAAATCTGCATCGTCTTCCACCTCAATCTCCTCATATCCGGGGGAGGTGATACTCTCGTCTTCATAACTCTCTTGCGGTTCTTCCGGGGATATAAGGTCTTCGGTCAATAAGGGAGGGAAGGGCTGCTTGGCCTCCAAGGGCGAATTGAACGTCCTTGCTGAGCTCTCCATTTTGCGAAATGACGAAGGGTTGGTGTTGGTGTTGTTGATGTTGATGCCTCCCCTTTTTCTGCAATCATCACCAGATTCACCGCCCATCTCCATTTCTAACCTTCATCTACAACGTACATTACAAATGTGGATTTAGGACTTTTGTGATGTATATTTGATGATATTCGATATCTTTCTCATACGTATGACCATGTCATCGCCTGCCAATGAATGTTGCGAGCTACTTACTTGAACAAAATAGAATTTTATGTAGGTGATTATACCAAATCGATATCAAATCTGGAGCATATCTTCTTAATTTAATCATATAGGGACACTAATGGTCAAAGCAATATATACATCCTACGTAGTAAGATATCCTTCCGAGATACTATGTTTTCCCAGTTTCCCTTTCGGATCGACCCCGTTGCAAAGGCGGCACATTCCGCTCTCGGCCCCTCCGACTCAGACTTTAAGACTTCAACGCAAATCCCCATTCCCCATTCCCTACGGAGTACAATTTTCTATCTTGTGTTTTTCGCCTTATCCTCATTCTCCCAAATTTCTTTCCCAGTGATCACCCACTATGGATACTACCGAATTGGAGCATGTGCGCGGGGTTTGGGAGCGAACCAAAAATGACAGCCCTATCTATCGCCTTCTTCTACCCGATGTTGATATTATTAGTGCAACTCGTGGCCAGATGCAGGCCCGACTTAAGCTCACAGCGGAACATGTCAATTCCAGGGGTACCATTCACGGGGCTGTCTCTGCCGCCATCATCGATTGGGCTGGGGGCATGTCGATAGCCACACATGGATATGAGAGAACAGGTGCAAGCATTGATATTCACGTTACGTATCTGTCAACTGCCACCGTCGGAGATACCCTGGATATTTCTGCCGTTGCTGATCGGGTGGGGAAGTCAATGGCCTTCACGTCCGTCAAAATTTCCCGAGTCGTCGACGATGAAGTGGGTCCCTTGGTTTCGAAGGGTTCGCACACAAAGTTCCTGCCTGTCTCCAAGGAGAATCGTGAACCTAAGAGCTGAAGCCTTATTCCAAGGATGTTGTACATATACATACACATATATATTGTTCCGATTTTAGAACATCTCCTCGCAATTCTACCAGTTCTACCTAGGAACCTTTATTTCCAATCATGTCCTCCCCGTTGAAGACGTTATGCCACCATCTACGATGAGTTCTTGACCAGTGATATACTGCGCCTCGTCACTAACCAGGAAAAGCGTAGCATTTGCAACATCCCACGCGTTGCCCATTTTCCCCATTGGAACTTGCGCATGACGCATCTCCATATATCTTTCCGCTTGACCATCCGCATATCGGGACACCATACATTTTGTGTACGGGGTGTCCATAAGCCCAGGAACAACCGTGTTTAGACGCACACCCTTGGGTGCATAGATGACAGCCGTTGTTTTCATCAACTGAATGATGGCAGCCTTCGTCGCGGAGTATCCAACCTGAGGTTTTCCAATGTACCTCAACCCGGCGATGCTGGCAACGCTCACCACTGCACCACTGCCTTGCTGCTCCATTATCGGTAGAACGTGTTGACACATCAAAAACACACTCTTGAGATTAAGATCCACCTGGGAATCCCAAACTTCCTCCGTCATTGTAGCAGGACATCCTGGCTCTGACCTCCCGACGTTGTTTATCAGGATGTCAATGCGTCCGTGTCTAGCCATACAAGCTTCCACCAGGGCCTTGGTTGATGTAGACGATGTCACGTTTGTTTCCACGACGTCACAAATTCCTCCCTCGGTCTCAATAGCCTCTTTAGTGGAAACAGTCGAAGCGAGCGTACGATTGCCACCGAAGATCTTCGCACCTTGTCGAGCTAGGAGAACGGCGATAGCAGCACCAATTCCCCAGCCTTCGGATTGGGTTTGACCGAGGCCAGTGATGAGGGCGACTTTCCCATTTAGAGACAACATGAGGATAAGTCGATATATAATCAATGTGAAAGATAGAAGACTTTTGTTCAGAAGTGTGATAATAATATACATATAGGAATCCATCCACTTATATAATAAATGTTTTGGTCAAATATCGAGGCCTCAACGGGATTGTCCCGACGGGATTCCCGCTCCCCAGCGGCACACTCCCGTTATTAAAATCCATCCACTGACATATCTTTTTATCTTTGCCGAGGAGGTTAGCTGAGATTTCCCTTTTAGGATTATCTAGATCGAAAGGTGTCATGTCATTTGTTTTGACAAGGTTGCAACCCCCGGAGTGTAACCTTTCCGAGGTTGGATATACATCTTACATCAAGCAAGGGCCTTGGAAAAGTCCAAAGACTTGAAAAGAAAGAACTTTGGGAGGCTACTACATTATGTATGTACATATGCCAAGACCTGCACGTTCAGGTTCTATAGGGATAGTTTATTCCATACATACAACATACTGGATACTCCGTATGTTGTACTCCCTACACTCTGCACTCTGCAGTCTATGTACATATACCTCGGTGGTACAAGGCATGCATCCAAGTGACCTTTCTAAGTCTCCTTTTGTTAACTCTTGTTATTTATTATCATCTGCACACAGTGAGACAGATCGAATATTTTTGAGCAATTCCACGTGAGTATACCGGTGTCTCTACATCTACAACATATATACATATATATCTTGACACTTCCTAGGGCTCCAAACTCAACATCAACCCTCCACCGCTAAGACCCCCCTTGCATTGCTGATCATTGAGGGAAAAGAGCCGAGCTACTAACAAGGTTCCTATTCAGCCTTAGAAGTGTACTTCGTACGGAGTACGATGATCCTTGTACCATACATGTATATTTGCCATAAGATCATCAGATGGGTTGAGAGAATGGGTAAACCACATTAAATTCCTACATTCTTACATTCTAACATTCTGACATTCTGACTTTCTTACATTCATTATTGGTAACATGCATGAACCTTCAAATCTTCCAAGTTCTCTCATATTCAGGGGGTAGATTTCTCGATTAGCGGGGATCGGCCAAATCTTTTTTGATTGGGGAGACCCGCATCGATGATATTTTTTTTTTCTATCTCTCTCTCTTTCTCTCTTTAATTTTGATCCTTTTGACTATCATTCTCCAGTATGTACAAATCACTTTTTACAGGATTTCCAGGTTCTACTCTCTGAAATTCCCTCTATAATATAGAGCACGTCCTTCATTTCGTATATGTTGTATGTCGCCAAGGCAAAAAAAGACCCACAAACTATCGGATCGACAATACCTGAGCTTTGGATCAATCTCGAGAGCCTATCAGCTCTTACACCAACTTGTCTATCTCCATTGTGGTGGACAGGTCGTAAAGGCCATGTGAAGAATATTGCTTTTTTCTTTGCTTATTTTCCCCGAATTACTCCTAGGCCCCCCTCTTGTCTGTCATTCCTTGGTATATCTCCTTTTCAATTTGGAGACTATACTCACCATGTCAAGTATAACGGTATAACCACAATCCTACCCTAATCCATAGAGAAATCCGTGCTAATGTGATCTAGGATAATGATACAAATATTGGTTCGTCGCGAGGCGACGCGTCCACCACCTCCGGTGATATCGCTAGCGGTCTCATCGGTGGAGGGGGCTCCTCGGGCTCGGCGTTGATGATGACTCTATTGCCAGCACTCGTATACGCTATGTTTTGGGTCAGCCTCTTTTTGATATTTCGGCGAACTCAGCGCCGATGGTACGCTCCAAGATCCTACTTGCCCGATATACACGAGCATCAACGGAGTCCCGAGTTGCCTTCTGGCTGGGTAAATTGGCTTGGGACATTCTTAAAAATTGAAGACAATCATGTGCTTCACCATTCATCGCTTGACGGTTATCTTTTCTTGCGATTCTTGCGCGTCCTGGCGGCAACATGCCTGACAGGCTGTGTGATTACATGGCCGATTCTACTACCCCTCCATGCCACTGGGGGCAACGGCAATACGGAGCTCGATATCCTGAGTTTCAGTAACGTCAAGAACCCCAACAGATACTATGCCAATGTTATAGTGGCGTGTGTTTACTTCAGTGAGTTTCTCGGTATTCCCCGACAAAACAGCCTACTGACGAGTGCAGCGTTCGTGTTTTATGTCGTGGTCAGAGAAAGCCTGTATTATGCAAACCTCCGCCAGGCCTACCTCAACTCGCCTGCCTACGTATCTCGAATGTCGTCCCGTACAGTTCTCTTCATGTCGGTTCCGGACGCTTACAAGAACGAGAAAAAACTACGACAAGTATTTGGAGATTCGATCCGCCGAGTCTGGATTACCTCCGACTGCTCAAAGTTGCAAAAGATGGTTGATCGACGAGATCGACTAGCCGAGAAGTTGGAAACCGCAGAGACCAAGCTTATTCGGCGAGCAAATAAAGTTCGCACTCAAGCAATCAAAACAGGCGAATTGAATATCGATATGTGTCTGGACTGCGAGTCAAGCAATCCAGCATGGTCTCACAAGGTCAAACGTCCCATGCATCGACTGAGACTTTTTGGCGAAAAGGTGGATTCCATCCACTGGTATCGAGCTGAACTCGTAAAGAAAACCGAAGAAGTATCAAATTTGCAAGCAAAACACCAAAATGGCGAAGCGAAACAGCTCAGCGCAATCTTTATCGAATTTAACAGCCAGGCCGATGCACAAGTTGCCCTACAAACCCTGTCGCATCACCAACCGTTCCACATGACGCCTCGCTTTATTGGAGTTTCGCCTCGCGAGGTTGTATGGTCGGCATTGAATCTTAGCTGGTGGCAAAGAATTGTTAGAAGATTCGCAGTCCAGGGATTCTTGGCTGCGATGGTCATCTTTTGGTCATTTCCTGCGGCGATCGTTGGTGCAATTTCGAACATCACGTACATCTGCACGCTGATTCCCTTCCTTGGGTTCATCCTTAAGTTGCCCGACTTCCTAAAAGGTGCAATTGAAGGTCTTCTGCCCGCCGCGGCCCTAGCAGCGTTGATGTCGCTAGTGCCGATCATATGTCGCAGTACGCTCACCGGGTTCTTATTCCTCGAATCCCTGCTAACTTCTACATAGTATGCGCTAGACGGGCTGGAGTCCCTTCAAAGGCAAGAGTTGAGCTATTCACACAAAGCGCTCACTTTGTTTTTCAAGTGGTACAAGTGTTCTTGGTCACGACCTTGACCTCTGCTGCATCGGCTGCTACTGCACAAATTGTCAAGGATCCTCTTTCGGTGAAAGATCTACTGGCGCAGAACCTACCCAAGGCGACCAATTTTTACATCTCTTACTTCATGCTGCAAGGATTGAGCATGAGTTCCATGGCTCTTGTTCAAATTGTCAGCGCCTTGGTGTTCAAATTTGTCACCACATTCTTTGCATATTCCCCTCGTCGTCTGTTTCAAGGATGGGCCGAACTTGCCAGTCTCAGCTGGGGCAATGTCTTCCCCATATTTACCAACATGGCTGTAATTGGTAAGTGATACCCTACTCATTCCTTAACGAGGATTAACCGACTTAATTATTTAGCGTTGACGTATTCATGCATCGCACCTCTGATTTTGGGATTTGCCTTCCTTGGACTTTATCTTGTATACCAAGCCTATCGATATAACTTCCTCTTCGTATATGACATCGCAGTCGACACAAAGGGACTAGTCTACCCACGAGCCCTGCAACATTTGTTAACAGGTCTCTACCTGGCTGAGATTTGTTTGATAGGACTTTGTGCCATCAAGGGCGCTATCGGCCCAGTCATCATCATGGCCCTCTTCATGGTCGGCAATATCCTAGCGCACATGTCACTCAACGATGCACTCACCCCACTGAATACTTTCTTGCCACGGTCTCTTGACGCCGAAGAGGAAATGCTCCAAGAGAAAGAAGATGCAGTGGCAGCGATCAACGAAGAACGCCGCCCACGTGCGATGGCCTTCTGGAGATGGTTCCACCCGAACGTATACAAAGATTACGCGGCATTGCGCCAGAAGGTTCGCCGCAATGTCGAGGGGGTCTCCTACACACCCGAAGAGATGCGTACAGCATATTTCGAGCCATGTGTAGCATCTCCACCACCGACTTTGTGGATTCCACGAGATAAGTGGGGTTTCAGTAGCCATGAGGTCATGGAGACAGATTCGATGATCAGCATCACGGATGAGGGTGCGCACTTGAATGAGAAGAACAAGATCGTGTGGGATAAATATGACCCTCATCTTCCTCTGCGGGAATTGAAAACCCTGTATTGATCTTGGCCGTCTACCATGAAATTTAATGACTTGATGACAGCGATGGATTATGTGTTTTTTTACATGAATGCTGATATTTGATACTGAGGCTAGCACGGATCAAGCGCACTCAAATGCTTATAATATAGTCGAAAATTTTCTTCAGTACAACCAAATAATTGAGATAAAATATCATCAGACAGTCAAAGTAAAGTTGACCGCGTTCATAGCACCGTTATCCCGCGGGAAAAACTCGAACGTGAACACTGTCGATTGGCCAGCGGAGATGACAGAGCTAATAGCAGATGAAGTGAGGATTATATGGGAGTCGTCCCAGTTATACTGGCTGCTGTAGGTCTAGATCGATATATTAGTATTGACGAAATGTACACGAAGGGAAATAGGGCTCAGCTTACAGCCCTCGCTTGCTGCATAGGACCCAGGTATACCGTCCAGTCATCGACCAGATATGTCCCACTCTTGGTCAAAGCCTTTACAGCAGCGACAGTTGGCAGTCCACCCCAGGTGATTGGAATTGACAAGTCAGAACCCGAGACAGACGAGGCCACTGCCGATGTGGATGACAGGGTTGGAGCCTTCCATTGAACGATTTGGATGATAGGGGACGAGTCACCACCGGAGAACTTTAGGGTTAGAGTGGCAATTACACCCGGTGTTGTCGTGGACGAAATATGCTTGGATAAGTACGAAGCTGTGAAGACTATGTTCGCACCTGAGACAGAATAGTCTGTTCCTGACAATGTCGAGCCAGTAGAGTCACTGATTGACGAGAGCGTGTTGCCGTTGAAGATAAATGGAAGAGTCTGTGCTGTCACAGCTGTTCCATACTGATGGAAAATATAAGCTGACGATGATTGAGTGGTTGCGGAACTGTCCTCAGTACTATCTGGCAAACTATTTGCTGTAGACTCGGTGGACTTCGCGATGATGGAGAGCGAGTTAGGATCACGCCAGACCCCGGTGGTTCGATCCAAATGGTCCAGTCCATTGTCCCACAGCACGCAGGAGATATCGAGACTGGCTGCAGTCTTGATCAAAAAGTCAACGTACTTCCATCGAGCAGCAGGCTCGGTGTTGGTGGGTGAAGCATCGTATTCACCTAAAAGGAGTGGTACATTGGGGAAAGCGTTACGCAGCCGCTGGAAGTCAGACTGTACGGTATTCTTGTCGCTATCGGAGCCCCAAATGGTCTTTCCCCTGTTTGGAGTCAGTAAGTAATACCAAATATGCTGGGCCTATACTCTTACCAAGCGCTGAAAATAAAGTCGTCTAGAAGCCAGCCACTTGGTTAGTTCAACTCGACGCAGTACACCTACATAGGGGTAAACCCGATTTGTGACTCACAGGGACTGTAGTAGTGGAACTGAATAGCATATGGATTCGAAAATCCTGAAGGTGCAACAAACCAGTCTGCAGTCTTAACACTATCCTCACCACCACCGACTAGGGTAACAACCCTTTGCGGGTTGAAACCACCAGCGTCATTGATAGCCTGGAGGAAGATCTTGTTCAGTTTGTTAAGCTCGGTACCGTCGGCCACAGTATTGCACGGAGGCTCATTGATAGGCTCAAAGGCAACAAGGTTGGATTTGCAGGCCAACTTGGTTCCAATTTGATACCAGAGACTGTAGAATTTCTCTTCAATCATGGTGAGATTGGCCCCGAACTGGGTGACATCAGCCCAAACCCATGAGTCTATGTTTGTGTCAGTAAAGGATATTGTTGGATATAAAGTCATCTTTGTCATACCATGATGCACATCAACGATGGCGTAGAGTCCACGGGCCACAATCATATCAACCACATCAGACACTCGCTGCAACCATGTTGGGTCAACAGTCCAATCAGGCGAGCTTCCGGTAAAGTGATAAGCCCAGGTAACTGGGAGCCGGACACTCTTAAAGCCGCCGGCCTTCACAGTATCAAATGTGGACGCCACAACTGGTACATTATTCCAAGATCCCTCATCGGGGACAGAATCAAGAGTGTTTCCTAGATTCCAACCGGGATGCAGATTAGATACAAAATCCGCCGCTGAGATTGCATCAAATGTTCCAGTGCAAATAGCTCCCGTCGAGGCAGCACCTGTCTGGGCTGTGGACTTGGTCGCTGTTGTTAGCGTGGTGGTGGCCTTGGCTATACCGGCGAGGGCCACGAGGGCACCAGAAAGGAGAATCTGCATGACAAGATCTATTATTGGAGGAAAATCTACAGGACCTGACTTGACTCACAAAGCTGAACAAAACGACAAAATCAAACGGCAGCCCAAGGATATTTATGGCCAGTTTAATCATCGCAGCACTCTTTTTACTATGTACGGAGTACGGAGTATGCCCTAATTCTACTCAAATCTGCGGGCCGGCGGACCGGTGGTGTTCTTCAACGCATTAGAGCGTGCCAAAACGCCACCTTTGACTTAGGCTAAAGGGCCGGTACGGAGTAGAGTTGTTTCCTATGCTTGGCATGGATTCCAATAGATTGCGTACTTTTAGTCTTTCTCCAAGGGGAAGACTAGCTGGGAAAAGGTGCAATAACTCCTCCAATGAGAAGTCTCTTCCCCACAAATATAATGTGACTGTCCTTTAATTTCCGCAGCCCTAGGGCAAATTAGGACGAATGCGGACAAGTCCGAAACTAGGTAGGCATTTTACGTGTCACCTGGTTTATAGTTATGTGTCGATTAGGCGCGGAGAACTTCCGTGTTGGATTTTATAAACCCGTGGAGAATGGGGAGACTAGCTAGGTAGTATATTTCATAGGGAATAATACAGATTGATCAAAGACATGTTGTAGACGGAGTATGTAACTAGGTGCGTCATATTCATTTCATCATTGAGTGCATTGGCGTAAAATATCAGGGCCTCTCATAATTTCTAAATCTGGCATTGTTCACATCACTATGCAGTCTTTGTTCCGTTCGGGCTCCATTACGTTGTGATCCCCTGCACGCATAGACGGGCGTGATCGGTGAGAATACTGCGAGGTTCGATTCCGAGAGTTCCGGTTACCGGGGTACTGATTTCCTGAAGCACCACCGTATGGCCTTCGGTCAGGGGGCGAATAGCGTGGCCCGCTAGCAGCTTGTTCATATGGAGGAGGGGGTGCGTTTGGGTCCTCAATGCCGGGCCCATGTTGTGGCTGAGGTCTAGGCTGAGAACCAACTGCATTGGCAACGCTCGAAGTTCGATTAGGTACATTGCTCAAACGGGGTGAAGGCGATGGTCGACTGGAAGAATTACTCGGGGCAGACGTGCGACGATCGCGAGCCTGTTCGTTCCCAGCATTTTCACGTCGCTCTTCTTCTTGGAACTGAAGTGAGAGCGCATATGCATAGTCTGCATCACTCTGTTCTTGAGTCGGCTCGGGGGATTTCGATGCTTCGTTTGCATTTTCCGAGTAAGTGGCTGGCTCATTCGATGCTCGGGGACTGGCAGGGGCGGAACCCGATGGGGCCGAGGGGCCAGCGCCCACGGGGCGGAAGTCGCCAGAGTAATATTCCGTGTTAAACCCCGTCACATCGACTAGAGATTCCCAAACTACCTCGGCATGGCCCGCATAGCCAGCGTCGGTAACCAAAGTGTAAAGTTGGTGAGATTGAGGGTGTTTATATAGAGTCGAGAAATGGTCGTTGCGGAAAAGAATCGAGACAGATCCGGGCATAAGTTTAGTCGAGAGCTGTGTCAAGCCAAATGGGCTTAATTGTGTCGCATTCTCAATTTCCACAAATTGTTGAATGGTTTGGATATCCGCCATGATATTCTCTTCCTCGGGTTCAAGTGCCTCGCCTCGCGCCACCCGTTCCTCAAACTCTTGTCTGCGAAAAGGCAACATTTGAATATCCTCGTAATACTGACCAGTCCGTGACATTGCAGCATGGGTAGGACTAGACCAAGAGGCAAGCCAGCCATGGATCAATCGTATACCAAACGTGCTATACAGCCGAAGATCACTGGTTTCGAAGAAAGTGCCAAATCCTTCAGTAGACTCCTAACAATAGGTTAGTATAGGTGAGCCTTGACGGATACATCGCATGTACTTACCATTGTCAAACGTGGGTTGACGTTCATGCCCGTATGCAGCATTGTCAGGAATTGAGTGAGGGCCTCGATGTCTGGGAACTCGTCGTCAGGGCCCAGGCATGTTGTCAGCTCTTCAAACATTGCCTCGATTAGCAGGCCCAGAGAAATTTGCTCGCGGGTTGACAGAGCTCTAACGATTGGCGGGTGAGCGTTGGGGTTCGCTCGCAGCACCAGTGAATTTATAAGGGCCAGCAGTGGACAGGGTCCGTTTTGATTTTGGACCAAAATCGGGGATTCCAGCAGTTGACCACTTCGATCGGTCCATCGGATGTGTCGAATGGTATAGGTTTCTGATCTTTGCTCCTTTTGTCGTGCAGCTTCTGGTACAGATAGTACGGGGCTTGCTCGGGGTTGTTGTGACTGTTGTGCCACGGAAGATGCGAGGTCTTGTTTTTCTGACAATGATCTAGCTCCGTTCGCCACTGGTTCTGAGTATACTGACGACGCAGCATGAGACCCGATCTCAACCCCTAAATTGCCAGTGGCGCTCAACTCACCCAAATCAATTAGTTCGTGAGATGTGATGGAGGTTCGACTAGAGAGAGCAACAGATGGAATGTTGATACCAGCATCTGAGCCGAACCTCCCGGCATTGGATGGGGTTTTATATTGTGCGCGGGCATGGGTTTCCCCAGCAGATGAGTCAGACGGCTGCACAGCAACAGCCGGGATATATGGATTTGACTGCACTCCTTGTAGGTAGATCTCTTGGGGGGCCGAGACCTTGATGGACTGTTGAGACCCCCAAGGTGAGTTATCATCGAGGTGGTGACCGCTTAACACGGGGCGTTGCTCAGAATGAGAATAAGAGTGAGGAGCCTGGGCCCATGGCGACTCATGCTCAGGCTCATCTAGAAGAGAGAGACGTGCAGTCATCGGAATATACCCTTCGGCTGTATAGTTGTTAGCAACAGATATTATTTTGGGAGAACTTTCAGTGTCATACATTGGCTCAATGCGTCACTATTTGAAGTTGCACGCGAATCACGGCCCCGCTCATTCCGATCCAAGAGATCTTGAGTATGCTCGGTGGGCCGGGGCTTCAAGAATGGGTTATTCGACTGTAGTTGTACCGGCAGCTCTCCAGTCAAAGCCTGAGCGGCGTCGGAATTTGGCCGCCACACATTCTCGGCCGCTTCTAATTGTTGATATACCATCAAGGTTGGTGGAACCGAGTGCCCATTGGTATTTGCATGTTCCTTGTATGCTCCCTCATACTGATTATACTGGTCGGAGCGGCCATCATCTGGCATTCGGTTATTTCCTGGCCATGAGTTCGGTGGTTGGCTGGTGGGAGACCCCACCGGCGACCGCTGTGCCTCTTCAAGTGGCATCAGGTCAAACGCAGGTGAAGTGTTGAGGTCGGGAGAGTAGATAGAGTCCTCAGAAGGAAGTCGGTTCAAATGAGTCGGGCGGTGGGAGGACGCAGAGTTGGGTGATTTGGGCAAGCGTCCGTCCAATCGAGTATTTGACTTGTTAATGTTCTCCAGACGTGGTGGGGGCTGTTTGCGCAGGCCCATGAAGACGTCCGTTGACCTTGTGGGAGGCGGAGGGGGTAAAGGTTTGAGCTCGTGTATAGTTCTAGGGATGGGAAGGCCAATAAAGCACTCAACGTCAACTGACAGCACACTCAAAAGAGACAGAATTTTCGATCTGAGAGTGGATTCAGGTTGTGAGCTCAAAATGACAACAATAAGCCATTAGGTATAGGGAAAACGCCTTGCGCTGGGGCGGCAGGGGCTGAAGTGCCCGTATACGCGTATACGTAAGTGATAGGTAACAGCCTAGTGTTGAGGTTGAGCTCGGAAATGCGGAAATGTATGCTCCAGATGGAGAGAAAGCTATGTTGAAAAAGGCAATGACGGAGGTGGAAGATGATCTCAGAGTCTCTCTCTCTGAGGTCTGTCTCTTCCTATCTCTCGCAAGGCACCCAGATTCCGCAGATCCACCCGATCGCTGGTTGACCTGGGGGAAGCTCCGACGCTAGTATTCGTATTTACCGTATTATTCACATGAAGGAGTGGCCTCGGTGAAATGGCGGTACTAGCACGGTATGGGATGGTATGTTGGAGACTTATGACGACATGGGCGCTGGAGCCAGTGAATTAAGGCATTATATTCAGGCATCAGCACATGAGGCATCAACACTTCAGGCATCAATAATTAAGGCATCAATATCCCGGACTATCTATCCACCCGGCTGTGAGTATCGAGTATCCTCGTCCTCTGATTGGTTGTAATTCTATCGCGCATAAAAGTCCCCAGAACAATTTTGTGGAAGAGCTCGAGGCACAGCTGTTCCATCGCCATCATGCATTCCTATATTCGCCCGGGCCAGTTCGTGGGTATTCGGCTCCAGTCGGATCAATTAAGGCTCATCCAGATCATCCCTGATACGTAAGTACTCTCTACTATATGCGGGGGAAAGATTCCATCGCAAGAACTAACATTTGACCAGAATCGTCAATTTGAGTAGATTCGGTAGCTTTGCCGCCAATCAGATTATTGGACGACCTTTCTATTTCACCTTTGAAATTCTCGATGCGTGCGACGACGCTGGCCACCAACTACGTGTCGTGTCAGCAACCGAGTTGCATGCGGAGACCCTCCTCGCGGACGGGGAGGGAGATGGGGAGGGTGACGACGTGGATACTGGCGAAAATGGAATACCGATGCGAACAAATCGTCAAATCAATGACGAAAACTCTTCCCAGAAATTGACCTTGGAAGAAATTGAAGAATTGAAGAGAGAGGCCGGTGGCGCGGGGAAAGACATTGTCGCAAAGCTCTTGGAATCGCACAGCGCAATAGACCAGAAGACCGCATTTTCTCTTGCCAAATACACGCTACGAAAACGCAAGAAGTATCTGAAGCGGTTTACCGTCCTCCCACTGGACGTTGCCCTTCTCGCCAATTACTTGATCGAAGAACGGGATGCGCAAAAGTCCATGGAGCTACGGGACGAACACATCGGTCTCATCGGGTGCTGGGGCAATGTACATCATAGCGGAAATGTTGAGGTAGGTGAGGGAATGAAGCCGCATGGACGTTATGCTATCGTTGATGAGACGGGTGGACTTGTTGTTGCCGCGATGGCTGAGCGCATGGGAATTCTATATCCCCATGATGCCGACGAAGACCCAACAGAGGATCAAGGCGTTCCAGCCCCCAATGCCACAGAATCCCAACCTACCAACGGCCCCTCAAAGCCCCGGCGCATACGTCCCCAGCCAATGTCCGCTACTACCAACACCATCACCGTTATCCACCCATACTCACAACCAAACCTGTCACTCTTGAAATTCTTTGGCTATGACACCAACAACCCCGATGAATCCCACCCACTCCACACCCATCTCAAATCAATTTCCTGGATGCAGTTGGCTGACCCCAATTCCGATCCGCTCTATGCCAACGAACCACCCATCATACCCGCAGAGGAATTGGCTGAGCTTAAACAAAGCAGGCGCACTGCGTATTACCACAAGCGCAATCGATGGGGGCGAGTTAAAGCAGTTGTGGATGAGAGCCGGGCCGGTAATTTTGACGGTCTGATCGTGTCCACCTTGCTAGAGCCAGCAAGCGTTCTAAAAACAATGGTCCCGCTCCTTGCCGGGTCTGCCCCCGTTGTCGTGTATTCTCCGACAGTCGAATCTCTGGTTGAATTGACAGACATGTACTCCACTGCTCGGAGGACCGCATTCATCAACAAAAAGCGAGAACTGGAATCGCAGAGTTTAGAAGGAGAGGCTGTTGATTTGTCCCCACTTCATGAAGAATTTGTGGTTGATCCGACAATTCTCCTTCCACCTACCTTGCAAACGTCTCGTGTGCGCCCTTGGCAAGTTCTGCCTGGTCGAACCCACCCTCTTATGACTGGACGTGGTGGCGCAGAGGGATATCTCTTCCATGGCATTCGCGTGTTCCCCGCCGCACAGAATATCCAGGCTGCTGGCAACGTTCGCAAGAGACGAAAGGTGGAGACGACATCGACCCCGATCAGTGATCGAGACGTGGAAATGACGTCCTAGCTTTCACGAATGTACGCCCTAAACGCCCTCAAAATAGATTCAATAGCATTTCAATGTACAATTACAACAACTTACTTCTTATCTTTCGTGTGATCCGACTTCCTCTAGTTGCTACCCCTTATTTTGCTCATTGAGTTAGGGTTAGCGGGGATGGGGTCAACCCCCAGATATGCAAGTATCCTCGACCAAGCCTCTCTGGTCGCTACGCGAAGTGCTTGGGTGGGGTTCTGAACCAAGTATCAAATTCATTCATGCGCTGAATTTCATCAAACAATATACAGCAACGCTCGTCGTCTAGAGACTCTTTCCCATGAACTTTCTCTTCGTGAAACTCAGCCAGAACTAAATTTGGTCAGTATTTCAGATAAATCAGGAGTTTATCCTTTGCTCCCACTTACCTTTGATGGCCCGACTCCACCGGGGTATAATCTGGCGTGTAGGCGGATGGCAATTTCCTGTCGCACTTGCGAGATAAACCTAAAATTGCAAGAGCCGGTTAGCGTAAATTGATCTGCGATGTATAGCAGCGAGTATCTCACTGGCGAAGAGTCTCGGCATCCTGGCGGTCACGCGGGGGCTCAAAGGCCTGGTTAAGCGGGAACGACACATCACCGGGAATAGCAAAGTTGTCAAGGGCGGCGTTGGTCAGGGCCTGAGAATACGATTGTCAATCATAGTTCTGCTATATCGGGCTTTTAGTATCGGATATCGAAATTTACCTTCTCGGCTTCACGGGCATTCATAGTTGGCTTGACCTTTCCGAGGCAGTCGCTGATAAACAGAGTTCCATAAATGAGCATACGGTCCGCGGGGCCATTGATCTCGAAGTTGCGGAACAAGACATTGGCACGGAAGAGCGATAGGATTTCATCGACGCAATCATAAGATTCACTCTCTGGGGACACATCGAGGTCGTCGGTGTTGGGAAGCGGGGGCAATGTGTATGCGGGGCCGCGAGTACGGGTTCGGAGGGGGAGAATAGGGAAGTTTCCTAGTCAGGAGACATTCCATGGTCAATTTGGTCCTTTCAATGTTGATTCATAGCCTAGGAACTCCTGCGCTAGACTCGATGGGAGTTCTCATACCTATCACGGGGACATCGCGGTCCTCCAGGAAGATGGAGTGGTATGCCTGCATTGAAGGTTAAAAGGGGGCTCCAGGGACATATGAAGGTAGCATAACATACTGGCATGCTGAATGCGTTAAATAATTTAAATAAGAAGTTCAATCAAAGAGACGGCGGAGGGGACAAGTTGACCCGTTGGAGGTTAGGCAGTTGAGGGATGTCATCTGTGGAGTCCCCCAAGCTCCATGATTTTCCGCCCCGAGCCTCTTTACGCGCTCCACGCGTCAAACCATTTGGGCAATTTTACACGATTTTACCTGCTCTTCTTGATAGGACTTTTGATATTGATTATTTATCTCCACTGAAGAAACCTTCGTCATGTCAGACTACGAGGATGAAATGGACGTGGATGCGCCCAAGGACGTGCAATTTAGCTCCGACAATGTCAGTGGAAAAAAGAGAACTGTCGCCGATCTACCAGTCGAGGCTCAAGATAATTTGCCATGGTAAGTTTTACAATCGTACCGATTGTGTTCTCTATCACTGACAGACTTGTCAGGGTCGAGAAATACCGACCAAGCAGCCTGGATGATGTCTCTGGCCATCAAGACATTCTCGCGACTATCAATCGGTTCGTGGAGACAAATGTAACAAATGCCCCTGATAAAAGTTGTACGATGGGCTCTGAATAACATTTTCATCCAGCGGCTTCCCCATCTCCTCCTTTATGGACCTCCAGGAACCGGAAAGACCTCGACTATCCTAGCCCTGGCGCGGCGGATCTACGGCACCAAAAACATGCGACAGATGGTGTTGGAGCTGAATGCAAGTGATGACCGTGGCATTGATGTTGTTCGAGAACAAATCAAGACCTTTGCAAGTTCGTGACCTAGGGTTCTCAGGTTGAACTACAAGCTTACTGTGAACACCAACAGGCACGAAACAGATCTTCAACATGGCCCCTCAGGGCACTGCCGGCTCCCCCCTGGCAGGCTTTAAGCTTATCATTCTGGACGAAGCCGATGCGATGACTTCGACCGCACAAATGGCCCTCCGCCGTATCATGGAGCGCTACACGGCCAATACCCGATTCTGCGTCATTGCCAACTACACACATAAGCTGTCCCCAGCACTCCTGTCCCGGTGTACGCGATTCCGCTTTAGTCCACTGAAAGAAGTCGATATTCGGGCCTTGGTCGACAAAGTGATTGAGAACGAGGGTGTCAGGATACAGCCCGACGCGATTGATAGTCTAGTGACCCTGAGCAAAGGTGATATGCGACGAGCATTAAACGTGCTCCAGGCATGCTTTGCCAGCAGTAAGCTCATACCCTTCCTCCCTGCTCACATCCAGCCCAATTGACGTATATTATCTTTCAGGTATTCCGCTACCGATGAGAGACGCTCCTAAAGCCCCTCGTCCCGAGCCCGAGACTGTCACTAATGCGACTATTTACGACTGCATTGCCGCCCCGCACCCGTCCGATATCCAAGAAATCATGACCACCATCCTCTCCACCAGCGATGTCACTTCCTGTCTAAACACCGTGCAAACCCTCAAGACCACCAAGGGTTTAGCTTTGGCCGACATCCTCTCCGCGCTAGCAGATCAACTCCAACAGCTGGAAGTCCCTGCTCAAACACGTATTACGTGGCTCGAGGGACTGGCCGAGATTGAATGGCGACTTGCTGGGGCCGGTTCAGAAGCTATTCAGACTGGAGGGCTGGTCGGAGTGGTGCGAAATGGATGTGAGTTAATGAGTGACAAGGGTGTCACGGTGGCATAAGGACAAGTGATACGATCCAAACATTCTCTAATTTTTCCTGTTTCTTCTTGTCACGATATAAATGTAGCAATCTGGATAGGGCTGGAGTCTGCAGGCGAAAAGGAGCAAGTTTTGGCTTTTTTTTTTTCTTTCTTTTTTACCTACTGCATGTGTGTACCATGTATGTATCCATGGATGTATGTAGTAGAAAGCTTTATTTATTATCGTCAGGTCATCCTATTATCATTCTATTGTCACTACTCCGCACTCCGTACTAGTATACCACATACTAGTATCCGCTATCCTCCGCTATCGCAACTCCGAGGCCTACCGCGGAGATGTTTTCAATTAGCTAATTTGAACTTGTCGGGATATATTGACCAATGACTTGTCTATTGAAATTCCTCCACTAAGCTACTCTCAGACTAACTAATGCACACTTATCAGTTTTACCCCGCTAAGCTTGTCAGCTTAGGGTTTGAAGAAACAAGGGAAAAGACCCTGACCGGGGGAGGAGTCAACGGGTCTTGTCCGCAAGACTCCGTAGATAAGAAGGGTTTGTTCCCCCGGATTTTTTTGGGGGTTGCTCGATTTCTTCTCTATTAGCTTCTTTATTTCACCATGCGTTACTCTATCCAGTCCGGCTTTTTGTTGGCTGCATCTTTTTCCCCTCTTGTTGATGCTGAGCGTGTGCTGGGTGCGTATATTTTCGCCCGCCATGGAGATCGAACGCCAAAGGTCTTTGGTAACACTCAACTGACGGATCTGGGCTACCGGGAGGTCTTTGATTCGGGATCTTTTTACAACGAGCGATACATCTCGTCAAACTCTTCCAAGCAGATCGAGGGCATTAGTGCCGAGGTTGTCAACCCAAAACAGATCAGTGCCTCTGCTCCTTCGGATACTGTACTGCAGAATTCCGCCACTGGCTTCCTACAGGGCGTATACCCCCCCGTAGGGAAAGTGGCTTCCCAGACCCTGGGCAATGGAACCTCGGTCGAGGCACCATTGAACGGCTACCAGCTCATTCAGTTGGTACCTGCCTCTACAAGCAAGAACGCCGAGGATTCTACTTGGTTGCAGGGCTCCAGTGGATGCCAGAAGGCAACCGTGAGCAGCAACAACTACTTTACCTCTGAAATGTACACCTCCCTGCTATCCTCAACCAAGGAGTTCTACCAATCGCTTTCGCCCATGCTGGACGGTGCATTTGCCTCGTCTGATATGACCTTCAAGAACGCCTACACAATCTTCGACTACTTGAACGTCGGCAATATCCATAACTCTACCAGTCAATTCCCTCACAAGTCAGACCTGACCGATGAGGTATACCACCAGCTGATCTCTCTAGCTGGAAGCCATGAATTCAACCTGGCTTACAACTCCTCCGAGAAAGTGCGCGCCATCGATGGTGCCGTCCTGGCGGGTGAGATCCTGGCTGGACTCAACGAGACCATCACTACCAAGGGCAAGTCCAAGCTGAACATCGGATTCGGCTCCTATGGCACAATCTTTTCTCTCTTCGGTCTCTTGCAGATGCCTGCTGCATCCGTCAACTTCACCGGAATCCCGGACTACGCTTCATCTATGGTCTTCGAGCTGGTGACGAACGCCAGTGGCACCGAATTCCCAACTGACAAGTCCGATCTCAGCGTGCGCTTCATGTTCCACAATGGTACCATCACCGGCTCATCTGAGCCTACTGCATACCCACTATACGGTCAGTCCAGCGAGCTTCTCTCCTGGGATGACTTTTCCTCCAAGACCAGCGAGATCGCTGTGACTTCTGATGACGAGTGGTGTACCATGTGCGGCAACACAGATGGCAAGTGCGCTGGTTCGGACAGCACCAGCAGCGACTCCGGCTCTGCTAGCACCTCTAGCACTAGTGGCTCGGGAATGTCACTCGCTGTGGCGGGTGTCATTGGTGCTATGGTTACCCTCGCAGTGATTCTTGGTCTGGAGGCTATCTTCTTCCTGCTTGGTGGATTCCGCATTGCAAAGCGGAACAAGGCCAGCCCTGAAACAATGAGCTCGCCAGTTGTTGTGGAGGCGGATAAAAAGGTTTAGGCTGATGGTTTCTCCGAATGGAATGTGACTTGGGTGGAAGGATTCGCAATGCGTAATGAATGTATGAGAATGCAATAATAACTCGAAACTGATTTTAAAACTATACAATCCAAGTAATATAACATCTCTTCATCCAATCTTGAACACCTTGTGGACATCCATATCAAAGACAAGTGACCATCCCGCAGATTCACCGCCTTAGATCAACATCTTCCCAAATCCTCTTTTCTTCTCTTCTCTCTTTTCTTCTCAACCCCAGAATGCCTCGCCAACAAATCAATTTAGAACCCTACCGGGATGATATCATTACTCTTTACCATCATGGCATCAGTAGTGACTCTATCAGCCGTACCCTCGAAAGTTGTCATAACATCCAAGTGAAGGAGCGTACCATCCAGTCCCGCCTTCGCAAGTGGGGCATCCGCAAGCGACACCGGACAACGACAGGCGACGAGGCTTTGCATGCGCGCATTAAGATGCTTTTCATGCAGGATAGGCTGACCGATAAGGCTATGCTCAACATGCTGCAGAAAGAAGGTTACGGTATCTCCGAACGCACTTTGCGCCGTCTGCGGTTTAAGTTAGGACTCCATGCCAGAGCTTCGGAGCAGGAACAGCACCAGGAACTGGAGCAAGAACAGAAGCAGAAGCAGACAAATATTCCACAGCCTCGGCCAGAAGACCAACCGGTGTGAATATGGCTTGCTGGAGCCGAACCTTGATCTTCCACTGGGTTCCATCAAGCAATATCCCCATGCGCGACACATCATGACGATTATCAGTAATCTCACCCTACGCGACAACACTGGACTCTTCCCATGCGACTCACCTGCGGCTGTCTATGTATCGACCTCTATCAAGACTCTGGCAGTGAATGATCTCATGACTCCATTTTCTTGAATCGTCTCTAGCCGGCACGTGCTTCCAAGGTTGGCCTCTCAATGGCCGATACACGTCTCGATTTTACAACCGATCAAACTTTTGTCAATGTGAAGTACCTCCTCGCAAAACAAGATCTTGCAGTGACGATTCGGTGAGCTGGGGGAGTGTATCTTCCTTGAGCCATTCAACCACCTACCAGCATCCACTGCCACCAAACATCAAGCCTGATAAGAACTCTTAGCATGCGCTCAACATACCCATCAGAGCATCCCTTAGCTCCCGCTGCTAGTGATGATCCCCAAATGCGACAAAATTCCATGCCCAACGCTCAACGTCCCATCTCATGTTACTTGGCTACTGTGCTGCTTTGGGTCTCATTCCGATACTAGGGAAATATGTGAAAGGTGACATGTGACATGTAGAGTTGAATTCAAAAGAAATTGATCTTCATTACTTTTTCAATTAATCTTTATCTTCCTAAACAATGTCCTTGGACACCAAGTAAACAAGGGCTGGATCGACGTCACGTGCCATGACGTTCCTGTCGAGCTTTTGATCGGAGAAACCAACCCGTTGAATCGCAACACTCAAGAGGGGTGTAAATATCCCCGCATACACTCAAAATCCTCGCTCTAACCCCCCTGTGACACACGCTGTAAGCCGGCAGCTTACTTGCCCATAATGTCCTCCCAATACGCTAGCGAACCCAATCCCACTGCGTCGGCCACGCTCAACACGACGGTTGGCCCCATCCAGATCGCGCTCTTCGCAAATCAGGCCCCTCTTACCTGCAAGAACTTCCTCCAGCACTGCAAAGACAACTACTATGCCGATACAATCTTCCATCGGGTGGCCCCCGATTTTGTGATCCAGGGTGGTGATCCCACGGGCACTGGCTCCGGCGGAACTTCTATCTATGAATACCCGGAATTCGAATTTGATCCTGAAGCTCGGGACCCCGATGAGCGGGTGGTTCTACGCGATGAGATACACAGTCGGTTACGTTTCAATCGACGTGGTTTGCTAGGAATGGCCAAGAGCGAGGACGGGACATACGGCAGTCAATTTTTCATCACGCTAGCGAACACCGAGCGTGAGATGAATGGGCAATGTACGATTTTTGGAAGACTAGAAGGGGACAGCATCTACAATGTGTTAAAGATTGCGGACGCGGAGCGCATTGCGGGCACTGAGCGTCCTGTTTATCCGGTCAAGGTGACTTCCTGCGAGGTCGGAGAACTGGGGCCATTGGAGGGCAAGTTAAAGGACAGAATGACAGTCTCAACTGCCGGAAAGGCAGAGAAAGCTGTACCCAAGAAAAAGAAGAAGGCCACTAAAGGCGGGAAGACGCTTCTGAGCTTTGGAGACGAAGGAGACGAAGAAATGCCCATGCGCCCAGCAAAGCCGAAATTCAACACCAACTTGGTCATGGATGCGCCAGGTGCAAAGCCCGAAATATCAAAACCCAAACCCCGAGCCGAAGCCCCATCACAGCCGCGCAAACGGCCCCGGTCGCCATCTCTAGATCGATCACCGTCTACAGAGCGTAAAAAGCGACCAAAGACACCAGAGCCGGAAGCACAACTCCCCCTACCTGACCCTGAGTCGCCTACTCGGTCTCCGACCCCAGACGCCCCACCCGCAAAGGAGTCCAAGCTGTCGCGGACAAACGCTCAGATTGCCGCTCTAATGGCATCAATGCGCCGAGACGTCGATGTCGGTCCTAAGGACACAGGCCGAAAGAAATCCGCACTTGAAGCCATGATCCCCGAGACCTCAATCCGGGGACGGAAACGACCACCTCCAGGGACGGCAAATGGCTCCAGTCGCAATGGGACAGGACCCAGTAGCGCCGCAGAGCGAGAAGCATTGCAGCTCTTCAATGCCTTCAAAGCCAAGCTCGAAGGCGCTAAACCTGAACCAACTACCACAGCATCACATAGCAAAAGTCACACCGACAAAGACACCGAAAATCGGACTGAAGAGGAAGAAGACGAAGAGGCCCAACTCTGCGACCTGCACTTCATTGCAAACTGCCAATCCTGCCAGGCATGGGACGACCCTAAGGTAGAAGCAGACGACCCTGAACAGCAAGATGGAGGTTGGCTCTCGCACGAACTCCGCTTTGGGAAAGATACCCTAGGCAAAGACTTGAACTGGAAGCGCGAGCACGGAGGCGAGGCAGACTCACTTATGGTAATTGATCCTCGTGAACGAGAGAAGGAGGTGGTTGGACGAAAGCGGGGATTCCAGCGTGATAGAGAGCGTGAACGTAAACGGGAGCGAGTGGGTGACTTGGAATGGGATAAGGGACGCTGAATCTTCTTATTCTTAAATGCCATTTGTTTTAATATTTCTATACAAATATTATCATAGCCTATCAATATCTTGACCCCATACATATACTGGGGATCTTACTTGTCGAATATTGTTAGCCAGGCGCTACATGAGTTGTAGGTAAGCGCCGGCGTCTTCCAAGGGTATAAAGGCAGTTTCAGGACATGCACATCCCCAAAGACTCCTGGGATTGGTTATTATGTTCGCCTCATTCTTTTGTGCCAGCCTCATTGCATTCTATATCCAATGACGGTCGAAAGCAACACACCATAATGACGGAGTATATGGGAGTTCCAATCGTGGAAGGTTCCTCATAAACCACATTCCCTGTCTATTTCTCAGGTGTCATCGTCTAACCCATCCATCTTTTCATTTTCTCAAAAAAAAAGTGTCCGTCATGACTGAACGGAAGAAATATCTCAATGCAAAAGATTTCCAAGATGGTCGGTTCCCTAAACATGTGAGTAGGTGAACAATTTGCAAGTCCAACAACGCTAACTATACACAATACACCAAAAGGCCTTGTGGCACTGGATCGTGAAATGAGACAGAATATCTGGCTCACTGCATTCGCGCCCATTCGACTGATCACTGCAGGTGGCTTTCTTGCCGTGTCGTATCTCAAAAACCGCGACAGCACAGGTGATGTCGACTACCTGATTGACCCGGAATTCGCTGCAGACAAGGACATTCAAAATGCCCTTCATAGCACCATCCGCACTGTGGCACGTCAACTACAGTATGACGACGACTGGATCAACGAGGCTATGGCTGTATTCGTGACCTCAAAGGCTCGACAGACATTATTTGAACGAGCCGAGAAACAAGGCATCATACTTTTCAAAGGAGAAAATCTCGAGATCCTGGCAGCTCCGATTGAATGGGCCCTGGAGCGGAAACTGAGGAGAATCTACGCTGCAGATCGCGACCGGAAGGCAGAAATGGATATATCAGATGCAATTGCTTTTTTGAAGCACTTGAGGGAACATAACAATGGCCTTCTGGATTCGGAGACAATTCGCACGATGAATATGAACGGGTTCGATGTGATTCCTGATCAAAAAACGATGCAACAGATAGCCGATGCATACCGCCGCGAGCATAACGAGGAGATTTTCAAATGAAGTGGATTTGACAGGTGCGGGGGCTGGCTGGTTCAATTGGACTTGGTCAATGAAGTTGATGTGATAATCAGAGAAGTGAATCGCCTCTAGATAGTATAGAGCCAGCCTGTATTGGTGATGATATTGCGGCGGGCAAAGTTGCGACCTTTGCCATTCTTCTCGAGTACCAGATTGCCCTCAGCATCCACCATCTCTACTGGGACCGACAGCCTCAACAGACTTTTATCGATAGGTGCCACATTCTTTGTCCAGTCTGGCAATTTTTCCGGAGTGAAAGGGGGCCAGGGATCTCCATCCTCCTCACGAAATACATGTTCTCGATTTCTGCGCAGACCCAAGCCCAATCTCCAGTTAACTGCCTCGTGCAATTCCTCCATAATCGAAGCGATCATAGCATAACGGAGAGGGTTTTCATCTTTGGGGTCTGGTATCTCCCCCAGCTTCCAGTCTGACCGAAAGAAAAAGTACTCTGTTTCATACCCCATCAGCTCGTAACGATCTGCAAGGTGGAGCTCATAGAGCCGGTAGATGGATCGCAGCGGTGTGTCTCGCGCGCGCCAGATCGGAATGCAGCGAAGATTATGTATAGCGCCAAAATGAGATCGAATTATACCCGTTTCATTTTTTGCATCTTCAATAAGTGCGCGAAGGGAGAACGGACCCGGTATTGGGAAGTACCAGGACGGATAGGGGATGAACAAGCGCAATAATGCGAGTATGGGATACTTGTGCTGGTGGCGGAGTCGGATGAGGCTACTGCGTATGCGCAAAGGTGACTCCCAATAGCGAAGCCATGTTCGAAAACGGGCCCAGAGAGAGATCTTTGGCCGGGGGCGACGTGGAGGCATTGTCAGCAAGTCGGGGAAGAGTTGGAGATTTGGAGAGTTCAACGATAATGGAGCGGGGCGGTGATGCCTTGGATGCCTCAGGCCTACATTTTACAGTCCTGCGATGTGATCAGTGCACAATACCTCCTACTGAAATGGCGCCCAGCTCATTTGGAAGTGTTGAAATCATACAGGGGAGGGTGAGATTACTATTGCCAATCTCCACTTTTTTTTTGGCATTTTCAGGCGATTTACTTACCGAGTTGTCTCTGTGGCTAAGCTTGTATAACTTCTTAAAGGTATTCTATCTATAGCCAGGGGCCTTTCACTAATAGTAAAACTAATCCATCTTTTAGAGGTCATCTCACTTAAGGAGTCTTGACTTCGAGAATCTCGGCGTGTGGGTTGGAGTCATTTTAGCCGTGATACACTAATGCTCAGCTCTGCTAGAGTTCAATATTAAATCCACCAAATGGTTCGGGTATCGTCATATCAAACAGTGTGTTTGTCCAGATCAGACTAGGTATACTATCAGCTCTATCTTAACTAGGTATAAACAAGAAATTCCACATATCCCCACGGCTCCTGGCGAGACACACTAGGAGAGGATACCCCCTGGGCCCCCAACCAAGAAATCCTCAGCTCCAAGTACATATGACAAGATCTTTACTCACCTTGGTCATCAGCTTAGTGTTTGTCAAATAGCTTACATCTCCAGTCTCTCCCTACTTCCCCATTGGCCCTCCCCTTTGTTATGTATCGATCAACTAGACAACCCAAGTAAGTCTGACTCCTGAGCAGCACAAATGAACATCCCCTAAAGTTTGCCAACCAAACTACTCGCAATTGCAGGTAAACCCAAGTACAAGTCTCTCTCTCTCTCTCTCTCTCTCTCTCTCTCTCTCTCTTCCAGCCAATGCGTATGTAGGGCTCGGCCACAGGCAAACCTTGGAAGGGTTAAGTATGCCGGGCCGTAGATCTCGGATCTCGGGTGATCTGCGGGTAACCGTGGACTCCGGTATCCACTTATCCCGAGACAGTGTGTCAGTTTAATATCGATCAATGCTTCAGACTTGGCTGGTGAGGAGCGGATAATCATTCTGCAGAGTAATAACAAGGAATTATAGTCAATGCATCATATCCCCAAGGATAAGTAAGTTAGAAATGCATCGGCAGTGTATCCAAAATCATCATGCTACGTACGTGTACTCGATCCGAGATCAAGAAGGTAGAGCAAAGGTATCTCATTAAAGTTCCAGAGATTGGATCATTCGTGGATCATAATAGGTTTTTACAGCCTAGTCAAATTCCCCCAGGCACGTGAATAAACCCCATATCAACAAATAAACGCCTGAGTGTACGCCGAGAAGTTTCCCATCCAAGCCCTAACCCGTGCGTGCCAATCTCCTCCGTCTGTTATTCCTTGCGCTGTCGACAGAATCATGCCTTTCTGCGCCGTTTCGTCGCACTGCCCCCATCATTTACAGTTTCACCTGGATTCTCTGTGGCTGCGGGACTGGTGGTCTCGCTATCCGTCAACTGCTCGATCACGCGCCCGGATTCATCGTAGCCGACACCGTCAAAGCCATAGTTGTAGGTGGGGTCCCCCTGCCCATTATGAGGGGTTTCGAAGAGATCGGGCTCGGCAGGGATGTGATCAAAATCGAACAGGTCGTTGGTGTCTCCATCATCGCCTTGGGCGGTCCCCACAGAATCGTGTGTATTCTGGCCTGTCCCCAAGTGGCTCATCTGATTCTCTGCCTGTTTCTTGATATCGGAACCTGCATCTCCAATGTCGGTGAAGTAGTCGTTGTTGAAGATTTGGTCAAGATCAAGCGGCGGAGGAGGTACATTGCCCTCACTATCGATGCCGGGGATAGTACCATTCGGGCTCAGGGGTTGGAGAAGACTAGTCAAGTTCTGGACGGAACGATCCTGCTCAGCTTGCATCTTGACTAGGTTGTCGATTTCTTGTCGCGTGCTGGCTAGTCTACCCGAGTAGTTGTGCGGCATGGGTGGTGGATGCGGCGAGATAAGCGCATTGTTGGGTGATACGCCAGCGTTGGGTTCTGATGAATTTGTTTCGTTGGCCATGAGTCGAAGCATATCGGCGCGTTGATTTGCCGTGAGGGGAACATTACCACCATGGTTTTCGAGTGAGGAGAGCACATTGGGGAACTCTGAAAAGTTTGTGGAAAGCCCGTTGCGTGCATTGGAGTTTTGGATTACAGACATAATATCCCGTTGAGGGGAATTCTCGTCTGTTGGCTGTCCTGGGGAAACGTTTGGGGCGCTTGGGCGGGGGCTGTGGTCAAAGACCTCCTCCACATGGCCGTGCTGGTTGGCGCTGGGTTGTCGAGCATGACCGCGAGACCGTGTGTCATAGGAGCCACTGGCTGATGGTGAAATTGTGGAGGACCGAGTATACGCATCCGCTGCGGGCGGAGCCTTCAAAAGCAGCGGGGGTTTCTTCATTGTTCTCTGAGCACTCGGGCTAGTCATTGATCCTAAAGCATTGGTAAGGTAATCATCATCAACATCCACAATGTTTCCTTGGTCCTGCGAAATGGCTCCTGCAAAAGAATTCGCGAGGTTTTGTGGCCCACCCTCTCCCTGCAAACTGCGGTTGTATACGGTTGCAAGGAATGTTAGAATGGCATTGATCGAGTTCTCATGGCGAGTGTGTTGCTCTTGGAAGTTGGCTGCTTGGGCATAGAGTTGCTCGTGTTCTTTTCGTAGCCTAGTGATTGTAGTTGAGATGATTGACTGCTGTTGACGAATCGCCTGAAGTTCGCGATATACCCCAGAAAGTTGCTCATTGGGTACAGAGCTATCCGTGACTAATGACAATTGCTGTGGTCTGGGAGCACGGTTGTCGCGAGGAGCCGGGGCACCCTCTTCGACATAATCGTCCATGTCGTTGTCATCAATATCTTCCGTCTTCACGCGCGTGCCGCCCTTGCTAGGTTTGCTCGCATGCCCGCCGCCTCCGGCATTCTTTGGCTTCTGAATGAGCCATAGCAAGTCTGGATGACCTCGTTTGAAATAAGGGTTTGCGTATTCGCTGGGGCTCTTGTTTTTCCGTTCGCTGGCACGCATTGAATTATCAGAAAGTCCGACCTTCTTATGAAAGCCGTACATGTTCAGCTGTCGGACGAATGAGGCGTAATTATTGTGCTTGAAGAGCTCGGGGATCAATGTTCTCGCAAACTCATCTTCATCTAGGACGACGAAAGAATTGCCATCGTCGGACCATCGAATCAACTCCGTATTCTTAGATTCGTCCAAGAAGCTGCGGTTCTCGGTCAGTGCTATTATTGATCACAAAGCGAGAGATCTATCATACCTGCTCAATTTCTGTACAAATGGCGGAATTTGCTTTCGTTTTGCCTGTGAATCTCTCTTCGCAGTCAACGCTCGCCGGTAGAGCTCCTCTAGAGACTCCCCCCATGCGCCGCTCTCTCCATTTCCATTGTTTCCTCCGTTTTCCACATACGAAGCAGGAGGTTGCTCGTAACCACGGTTTCGGCTAACCACCTGGTTCGCTTGTCGGCGGGCGAGCTGGTTAGATGCTGTCGCAGCCGGTGCAGACACATCTTGGGGTGGCGCGAAGCCTGCAGGGTTGTAAGAGGGATCGGAGAAGGCGGTGGTATTGATGGCATTGACGGGGGGGTTCTGGCCCCATTGTAAGAATTGATCGTTCGAAAGCTGAGAGCCGGGGTTGGCAGCGGTCGGGAAGTTCGGTACAGGGTTCATCTGAGGATGAACAGGTGGTACTGTTCCCGGTGCAGGTCTCTTGCGAGTCATTCCTTGCGAGCTCATCGTGAATAGGCTGGCGTAATGGCGTCGAGTTGAGTCTTATCGCGGTGGGGTTCGATATCGAATTGTATCGCGATTTTCTTTAGTCTCTGAATAGGAGACTGAGTTGACCGCAGGAATTTTGCCTAGGAGACAAAGGAACCAGATGCGAACTCAGTATGCAGGAAGTTGTTCATCCAAGTCGCTTCCTAATTTTGAGTCAAGAAGGCTTTGACCACAGAACCGAGAGAGAAAAAAAAGTGGATGGCACTGATCAGGGCGCGAAATCTGTCGTATCGACACTGAAATAGACAAGATAATCACAAGAATCGATAACAGTCGGCAAATCAAGGACCAGCAGTGATTAATACTAGGCAGATGACGCTCAATGGGCGCGTGAATTGTCCAACATCCAGAATAAGGCGGGAGGCTCCAGCAGAAAGCGCCCACTGGGCGGTGAATGAGTTGATATGCCGAGTATTATGTCTAGATGCACCAACGTTAGAAGAACTGAAAATAATCAAACGAATGTACAATTTTGTTAACAAAATGAATATGACCTCTTATGCCACTCGGCGTTCCGGGGGAGGCGTTGAATAAGTCAGCAGGATGGGTGGTGACGAGTACAAGTACCTCATATTACCATGTGATCACGCGTGGCTATCAGGTATCAGTACCTATAGATGGACTGCTATGTGGAATTCTAGAATTCACAATGGCAATGTCAATATCAATAATGCCATTTCATGTTTATATCCTCTCAGGTATCTGAATTTTGCAGCAACCAACTACCATTAAGCAGTACGCAATTGCCCCCCTCCTTCAGAAGCATTCACACAGCTCACTCGATAGTTCATATGGAACTAGCTTCCCCTATCAAATTCTGGAACTCCGTCAGAATCTGTTGCCATAAGTCAGGGTGCCTCTGCGTAAAATTCTCGACCTGTTTAGGAGCAGACAAGTCTTCCTTCATGCGGGACTCATCCTTAGTCCCATTCAGCACCGCCACATCCTTCAAGCCCATGACTAGAGTATAAAAGGCAGCAGCCGGGGTTATGTTAACATGGTGACTAAGTTGCTGCACTGGCTCAGAGCGCACGAGGTCCGGATTCGCTGTCAAAGTCCAAAAGCTTTGGTATATGACCCGATTCTCGCGGCAGAACGCGCGCAGAGGGACATCAAACAGAGTGTCCTCGTAGAACCTGTTCTGTACCACTGATGGCTTCACAGTTGTCTTGGACGAGGTACACAATTCTCGAAGTATAGGCAATGTACAATTGGAGATACCTAAATTCCGGATACGGTGGGGGACATATGTCTCGAGGGCGTGCCAAGCTTCTAGGGTCTGGGCTAAAGTTGACAGTGGCGAATGGATGATCACTGTGTCAATGTAGCTCTCATCCACGGATATGGGGTCAACTTCTGAGCGAAGATTGTGCAATGATGATTTGATAGATGCATGGACCTGATCCGTCACCGTCGCTGACGGATCATAGGGCATATTGGCCAGATCCTGTGCCGAGACAGGACTATATTTGGTTTGTACCTAATTATAGTTAGCTACCAAATCCCTAAATCTATTTAAATTAAAAAATAGTAACTGCTCACTCACGTATATGTCTGCTCGGCCGACGATCCCATCAGCGATTGCTCTGCGAATCCCATCACCAACGAGATCCTCTTGGTAATGGCGGGGTTGGGCCGCTGTGTCCACAGCCCGAAAACCGGCTTTGATTGCGTTGTAGACCAAATCAGCACTGCGTTCTTTCTTCCAGGCTGTGCCGTAGACGAAAACTGGGATGGTGGAGACAGTGCCTTGAGTTGGACGCAGGCAGTACTTTTCCCACATATTGCTGACAGTCCGAGTCATCTGTGAGAGAGAGATCTAGAAATGGTTCGTAATTGACTGGCTTTGATTGAGTGTGTAGGAATCAGAGCAGAAGTACATCTAACTTAGAACTGTTCCCAATGATGTTATGATTGCGGGGTCCACTTCAACGCTTTTCTTACTAAGTAGAAACCCAATTGGAAGGTTACCTGGGTACCTTCAGGGCTGGACGATGGAAGTGATACTTTGCCGGTTATAATATACTGGAGAGACTATGGTAAATTCACTAGTTCTACTCAGAATGCGGCAAAAATACTGATAGTCACATTAGTCGGATTAGCAGTCTACCAAGTCACTTATCGAATGGTGTCGATAATGGTGTCGATAATGGTGTCGATGGATGAATAACAAGCGTTATTTCAAGAACTTCAAGAATCCTGAAGTCTAGAGATTAACTCACATAACATGTATGGCCAGCTGTATACTCTCCAATGCTATCTATATATAGCAGAATGGTGGATGAGCTCGGCTATCGGCAACCCGCATAGGCATCTTCTTTCATTCGATACAGACTCAAACCTGATTTTTGTTCTGAAGCTCAGAGCTCTGTATGGAGTACTCTGTACTCCGTATAGTACTCCTCATAGTCACAACAAAGAATGTCGATTAACCTATAGTCAAGGCTGCAGCATTTCCTGACTAATATGCACCGATTGGCCCCACAGCGTGGCTTAGAGCCTGGACTTGTATAGGATCTTCGGGGTGAAATAAGACCCTTGCTTGGCAAACTGAGAGAACTATGAAGTAACTGAAGAACATTTGTTCAAAGGTAGGTCAAACTCAGTTCAGGGATCGAGCATAGCCACGGTGTCTGCATATTGATAGAAAAATATATAGAACACACAACCTAAATGCACGATATTATTAGCACCATCGCGTTGGTATTTCTATTTAGGCTCTTGGCACAGACTTGGCTGATGGTATAAACCAGGCAGCTGCTTTTACACATTCAACACTGGCAGTTCCCCGCTGATCGGTGCATCCAAGTTGCACTTTCAAGTTGATCTTGTGGTTGACAAGGGTGGACACACTTTGGGGCTCAGTCCGCTTTCTATTTCAGAACCCTAACTATGTGTGGGGAGTACCGACAAAGTAGATCATCTTCTACATCGATATAGGATGCAAAAGCAAATACCAGGTTGCTTAGAATGGGCTTGGCGAACAGAGTTATACCAACTTCAACATAAATATGTCTTGAATCCCCGCCATTGAGTTCGGTCAGAAATAAAAACACAACCAAGTTCGTCTACACTCTGCAATCATCAGCATCAATAATCATGCGTACTCAGCAGCTCCTCCCTCTTTGTGGCCTCCTACTTGCCAGCGTTGCCATCGCATCCAAATTGGACCACGACGACGTCCCCAATCGCTGCTGGACTGTCTGCAGCTCTGTCGTCGATATCTCCAAGAGTTGTGATACCAAGCACGAACGAGATTCAGCTGAAATTCAATGCATTTGCGATTGGGACGCTGCCCAAACCCAGATCCCGCTCTGCTCAGCCTGCATCACCCAGTATCAAACCGACAGGCGCAATCGCAATATCACTCAACATGACGATGATGACGATGATGACGATGATGACGATGACGATAACGGTATGTACAATACGAATATATCAAGATACAAAATGAATCTAATGCATTGATCAGAGGCCCTTGACCTTGTCCACTCTTGCTCGCTCACCACGACTACTTATAACTCTGCCGCTGCTACTACTGTGATTAGCACATCTACTACCACTGCTGGTTCAAATACTGCCACCACCACAGACTCTTCTAGTACTAGTGGAACCAACAGCCAGGATTCGACCTCGTCTGTCTCCTCGGGATCTTCTGATTCCGCTGGTGCCTCGTCGGGCTCTGCATCCTCTCCCACCCCTACTCCTGGTGCTGCAGTTGGTATTTCGGCCCCCGGAGCTGCATCCATGGCAGTTGTCATGGGGCTGATGGCTTTTGCTTGGCTGTGAGAGCTTCGCCAAAGATGGGCGAGTAAAGAAGTACACGGGGATTTTATGAATGTGTTCAATGCCTTCTTTTACATACGCAGATGATATCGATGAGTTATGTTCAGTTTGAGATAGTCTATGGTATATGCAATTGTCGATTTTGTGTTTTAGAAAAGACTCCAGCGAAAGAAAGTATAGTTATGGTCGAGTATGCTTAGCGAGGGCCTAGCGGTAAATGGTTAACCTCGGGAGTAAGCAGAAAGTGGAAATAGCATACAGCAACAGGACTAAGAAGCAGTTACATTGAACATTAAGACAAGTCCAGGTATTGGTACATCCCAGAAGCTCTATACACGTTAGATAAATACAATCATATCTCATTCACAGGTGTTTCCTTCATAGGCGTTTCATGTGCGGGTGTTGCATGCGCAGGTGTTGCATCCACAGGCGTTTCATCAACAGACGTTTCATCATACCAATTGCCCCAGAAGTCATCATCAAAGAAATCATCGGGTGGCTCCTCATAATCCATGGCATATACATCCTTGTAGCACTGTGCCTTTGCAGGACAACTATTCACGCTCGAGGGTTAGCATCCATTAGCTAGACATTTCTTGTGTTGTAACTTACAACACGGGATCCTGCCCGAAAATGATGTGCCATATGTACTCAAAGACACGACCACTCGTCTCGTCATCCAACTCGGTTGTCATAAGCCAATGATGATACGACTCATAGGCGCTCCGTGGACGTTGGAGAACCTGCTCCCTGGTCACAGCGAACTGAGCACAGCAAGGCGTAGCAACAATCTCAGGTACATCCGTGTTGTTAAAGATACGAATCCAAGCACCCGCAAAGGCAAGCTCGGTAGTGCGACCAGCCGTTTGCCGGAATGGCTGGACCTCATCAGGACATCCGGGACTCCAGTCGCAACGTAGATTGAGATATCCAACTTGTCGGAGGTAGTCGAGTTGCAGTCTTTGGACGGTCAACACATTGTCCTGCTCCCAGAATTCGACATGGCCGCTATATTGATGAGCGTGGAGGAAGACCATGTACTCGGGCAATTTTTCGTAGTTATCTAGAATGTATTGCAGATAGGCACTGCTTTCTTTGCCTTTATTTTGTTCGACTTGCAGAGATGCTTCGGGGTCATCGACAAGGTAGACTGCGTGTTGCCATCTAAAATTCGATTTCTGGATTAGCATTGGCATAGTTTGTGATCGATTAGTGATTGGTCTGTGAAGACATACTCTGGTAGCTCATCCTCAAGCCAATTAGTGTCTTCGTATGACATCTTCCCCAGAACTATGACGCGATCCGATTTTGGAGTGGCCTTTGGACGACGAGGAGCAGTAGACGAAGGTGCCATCACATCATTATGCTCCGCCGGAGCGATTAGTTGGGCATCGTCAAATGAGGTTTCTAAATCATAAAATTTGGGTGTCCCTCGAGATCTGAAGAACAATTCTCCCGCCCATTCAGCGCCGGGGACATCGACTGGGATGCGCTTCGGTTCCGGATTGGCTATCACTGGACGCGGAGTTGGTCGGGCCGTGGGGGTCCATTTCCTTCGGGTTTGGGTACGTGAGGCTGGTGTCGCAGTATGGGCCGAGACCAGCTCGATATATGCATCGCCATCTAGAACATAGAGGTCGGAAGTGATTCCATCATTTCTCCATTGCAAGATGGAATCAAGGTGAAATTTGACCAGAAACAGGGTTATAATTAGCGCAATGGCTATGGCCGCTCGTAATGGAGTCCGCATTGTCCAGCATGCGGCGAGTTGAAGATCAGAAATCGGATTAGATCAAATAAATTGAACTCGAAATCGAACTCGAAATCGAGATCCAAGAAGCGAAAAGCCCGCACTTTTAAACATACGTTAGTTATCCACTTCAAACGCCTCGGCCGTCAGCCCGTCAGCTTGGCCGCGTGGTTGCTGCATGAAGTATACGTACCCTGTCTAGACAGTATACTATCTGCTTTTTCCTTAGAAAAGCACGTTTAGACCTAATATATTATTGGTTTCCAAGCACTTTTTATTAGCTTCAAGTGAAATAATCATCACTATCTACCTAAGGAGGTCTTAAATGCGGCGAGTGCAACCTCTTTCCATGTGGGTCTGACACTCGTCACTCATTCGTGTTGAATATCGGATCTTGTTTTCGTGAAACTGTCGATCTTTTTTTGGAATTCTCTTGACCAAATATACTACTTTGTACTCTGTAGACAATATTTACTCCGTACATAGCCATGCATGTTGTTCTGTTGTGTGTTCTATAATATAATACATTGACTTGAAACGAATTTTAACTACTCCGTACATAAGCTGCACGCAATCAAAAGTAGTTTAAAATGTAACCTTGGAACGTTTCAAACGGGCCAACGGGTCAGATGGGTCAAATAAATTGAACATTACAACATGCATTATCGGTTTGCCCCTACGATGCACAGACAAGGTATGTTATACGTCAGACTTCAAAATGGTTCTTGGCCTGGTTTCTCAGGCCCCCATTGCATAACTAGTTAGGTTAACTAACTATGATCTGGGCCTTTGCAGGTTTCTTGAAAACTAACCAGCCTATCGTTTCAAAGGATGTGAAATATGACTCCAGCTTATATCAAATAATTCATGGCTGACTCAGAATGAATCGTGTAGACACAAACTTGACTCAGTTCGAAGATCAAAAATGGATCTATTGGTAGAAATATGTCTCACCTTCCAGGGGGAAGCCTGAACGCTATCAGCCATGAAATGTAAATATGTTGTATTATTGCTTTTGCCTGGCGTACGGAGTCGTTGTAGCTGCCTCGCGGGTAGATCCTCATATCTCGGAGACTTTCTTTTTTATCATTTCTTTTTTGGGGTTCATTTTTCTGGCTTTTCCTTCCAAAGAGAATGATTCTACGGAGTGCTGCGTGTACGAGTTGCAATTCAAATCATCCTTCTACTCTTGGGCTTTTTGGTGATCAAGTCAGAGGTGCAAGTGTGGCCTCGTCCCTTCCAGTTGTGTATACAAAGTTTTGCTTCCAAGGTTGTTCCTTTCACCTCAGGGGCTAATAGCCTCTATTACCATACCTGTTTGGGTTACGGAATACGAAGTACAACATACATTTACTTGAACAATATTTCCATATACGGATAGAGCTAGTCAGGGAGTCCCTTGCCCTCTAAGTCACAAATTTCTCCTGAAACGTGGATTTGCTTGCGACCCGACCCGAAGCTCTGTAGATCAATCAGACCTTGGAATCCACTACCATAATCCTCCCCCCCCTGGTTTTGGGTTGATCGCAAACGATCGTCTCAGCCGGTCACCAGGTCAAGTATGTTGTAGTAGAGAGCAAGATCGGAAGTGCACCGAGGCAGTGTCATGTGCAATACTCCGTATATATGTTGTAAGCCCTCTCAGCGGCATCTCCCATCAGGGGAACCTATTACGGGTATGACAGCCGAAGCGAACCAGACTAACCCAGAGCAAAACGTTCCGTAGTCTTTTCTAGTCTTTTCTAGCGTCTGAATCGAGCGACTTTACTCCGTACGGAAGTCGGAGGAGTCAATTCCGAGTGCGATTGTCGTACTCCGTAACCACGAGCCGGGGAGCTCCAGAGCTCCACCCGGGATCTGACATTGCCACTAAATGTTCTAACCAACTTCTAGCGGGTTCTAGCTGGACCACATGAGCCTCTGATGGGCTTCGGCGCATGCGCTAGAAACGGGGGATGCGCGGATCGTGGAGACTAGACGAATGTTCCAATTTCGTGGAGTGGGACTGGCACAAAATGCTAGCTTGCATATAGCGTCAAGTAGCAGCTACAAAAGCCGATGGGGGGGGGGGGGGNGGGGGGGGGGGAAGAATAAGGTGGCCTATCCGACTGGGCCGAACCATTAAGGAAAGTTGTTAAAATAACTTGGTGGCTTCTTCATAAGGTGGCGAGTCACGACTTCGCCTTGGGAAGGATGGGGCGAAATGAAATTAGGGGGGGAACTAACTTCAGGAGTAATAATAGTAATAAGAAGTAATTATAGAAAATCCCCCTGAAGCAGAAGGAATATTCAGAGAATACGGAGTACGGAGTACGGATTACAGTAATTAAAATGGAGCGGAGACCATGATAAATACTCCATATGCATTTTCCGGTGGTGTGTCAAATATAGAGAAATCATATACAAGTCGGGAGTGAACCCCTTGCAAAGCACGAGGCAGGGCGCGAACCTTGACTTCTATACGTCAGGCAACCCGTGGGACTCGTGCGTATGCACATAATTCCAGTAGTAATACTCCGGTGAAATGGAAATATTTCCCTTGTATTTCCCCCAAATCTTTTCAGGGATGAGAAGTAATAAGTTAGTGTCCACGGCGGGGTCCTCTAAATCGCCTAGTGACGAGCCTAACGAGGCACCGGCGTCTTGGTAAAGGACTAAGGAGCATTAGGAAATGGGATAGGAGCCGAGTGACTAGAGCGGTTGACCTCTGATTTGATAATGGGAAAGACATGCCCAGGTGGTTCCCTCAGACTCCAATTTCCAGGGGAAAGAGAGACGGAAGAAATTGTTGTATACCAGGATACAATATAGTAAACTTTATAAGGGGACAAAGGACAGAGTACTAAGTACTCTGTACGGAGTATCATGTTACAAATTAAAGAACTAAGCAATATCTTTGTACTAGGGCTGTGCTCGCTGTCATGCAGTCAAAGATTAAATAGTATAATTTCATTGGTATATCCACCTAAAAGATCCAGGGGCAATAAAAGTTGAAGATCTAATATAAAGAAGTACTACGGAGTATACGGAGTACTATTAGTACTATATAAGTGCTATAAGTGCTATAAGTATGGCTATTCCTCCTTTTGATCCTATTTTCTTACTGGTTTAATTTGTTGAAAGTATCCTATTTCCTGCATATCTAACTGATCACCTGCTTTTTCGCCTTAACTTGATCTCTTCTCTTATTCTCTTCTCTCCCTCTTCTCCCTCTTCTCCCTATTCTTCTCCCTCTACTTAACTCGCCTCCTTACTCCCTCCGTTCTTGGCGGATTTGTGGACCGCTTTTCCTCATTGAATTCCTTTTTTCCCTCTCTTCTCCCCCGCTCTCTTGTTATTCTATTGAGAGATCTGTTCTCGGGTTTCATCTTTCATCTTGGCCTTTTTTATATTGGGAGAATATCAGTTCCAGGGAACTCGGACCCCAAAAACAACCCAAACACCAAGAAAAAAAAGGAGAAAAGAAACAGAAGAAGAAAAGAAGAAAAGAAAAAAAGATTGCCCCTTGAATGAAACGAAGCATTTAATATTCGTGATATTTGAAGATATTTGCCTCTGTTTTCTGTGTCTTTGGTCTCTTTTGTTGGTCTTTGGTCTTTTCTATTTTTTTTCTTGTTCTCCGCCCAGAATCTCCCTCCGATCGGCTTTTAGGCCAAACTTTTCCTCCTCCTCCCAAACATCCGCACAATCCCGTCCCCTCGACGGTTTCTTTACTTCAAAGCCTTGCGTCGCTCTCATGGTGGAGTAGTGACAATTATTTCCTTAAACTGGTTTGGATTTCACATTCCTCGCTCCGGAATTCTCGATGAGTTATCAACAAGACATGTATCACGATCATTCTGCGCGTTCCCCTGGGTCTCAGAGGCATCAACAACCCCTACACCGTCAACCTTCCCGACAGTTCGACGCATACGGCCCTATGCCGACCAACATGTACGAGCAGGATCAGATGCGTTATGAGTCTGCTCGCCTCGAACGTTTGAACCCGTCCCTGCAGAACAATTATGGATATGATATCTCCGGCTCTCAGACCTGGAACCCTAACGGTTTTGCCAATGCACAAACTCTTGGGGGAATTCGCTCGGCTTCCGCTAGTTTGAAGCCTAATGCCCGTGGACGTGCTGGCCTCCCCACGGTATGTTTTGTCTGATTCGATATCAGATTCCCCTATCTTCTCTCCAGGTGAAGGAAAAAAAAACGGAAAGAAAAACTAACAGCCTTCTCAAGACATGGTTGGATCAACAACCGAACATGCCTCAGGCATTTTCGAACCTGGGCCCTGGTCCCATTCAGAGCAGCGCCATGCGACCGGAAGCCTCCGCTTCGTCGGCCGACGACGACGAATTGATCCCAACCGCGATTGTCATCAAGAATATTCCCTTCGCTGTCAAGAAGGAGCAGTTGGTACAGTTGATGACGGAACTCAACCTCCCCCTTCCCTACGCATTCAACTATCACTTTGACAATGGTGTCTTCCGTGGTCTGGCCTTTGCCAACTTCACTTCCGCCGAGGAGACAGCAACCGTGATCGAGGTGCTCAACCACTTCGAGCTACAGGGTCGGAAACTGCGAGTCGAGTACAAGAAGATGCTTCCCTTGCAGGAACGGGAACGGATCGAACGCGAAAAGCGGGAACGCCGTGGCCAGCTGGAAGAACAGCACCGCCCGATGGGAGGTGGCCCTCAACTCCAGACGCAGAGCTCCATGTCTTCACTGACCTCGCACATCCCGGCGACCTCCCCTTCGCCCGTGTCCCAACGTGGCCAAAAAATTGGTGGGTTACACTCTCCTTTCGATGTGGAAATTTTAACCCGTCGCTAACCAATTCTCTTCTTGTGTACAGATGTGGACTTGAACGACACCCAGACCCTTTCCTATTACTCCCAACTACTGCTGTTCAAGGAAGATACTGTTCGCGATTCTGTCATCTTCCCGCACAACCTCACTCCCTCCCAGCGTCGCACAGTTCACACTCTGGCCCACAACATGGGCTTGGGCCATGCTTCACGTGGCAGTGGCGAACAGCGCCAGGTGCAAGTCTTCAAGATCGCTGCAGGTGCCAATGTCAGCCCCCCGACCTCCTCAATCCCGCCCTCTGGCCAGTCAGACAGTGGTCGCCGCGGCCTTAACCGGGCGGCAACCATTGACTTCAGCGAGGCTCGCCAAGAGGCTGGACCTGGCGCTTTCAACACGTTGCGTGGACAAAACTCGGGCTTTTTGGGCGTGATGGACTCTCCTGGTAACTTTGCCAACGGCCAGAACCTGCGAGCGGCCAAGTCCTTTGCCGACCTGCGATCTTACACTCCTTCGCCCGTGCCTTCCTCCGCTAGCTTCCCCGCCGCGTTGCAGTCCAATGGCACCCGCCTCCAATATGATGGTGCGCCCACTGCTACTTCCAACACTCCGACCCTCACCCCTGCCCAGTCTGGTTCCTCTCTTGGCATGCAGCGTGATGACAACCTGCTGGTCAACAGCTTAGGTGGTCTTTCCCTCGGCACTGGTATTGGTGGCCCCAACTCGAGCCCGCGTCGTCTGAGAGGCATGTTCTCTTGGGAACAGGACAGCCAGCAATCTAACGCTGGCGCTATTGGTAGCAACCGCGGTATGGGCATGGGATATGACGGCCAGCAGGAACGCATGCCCGTCCGCCAACCCCGTGGGCCGACCCCGGACAAGGGTACCGGATTTCGCCGCCAGAATGGTCACCAAGCCCGTGGAAGTGATGAGCTCCGCACCAACTCCGGGGTAGAAATCATTGTGGAGTAGAGAACATTGGACGAATTTATTGAAGATGGCGACTCCCCTTTTTATTGCCAGCATCCGACTGATTTGCCGCGAGACGAATACGACTTGTATTACGAGTTCCTGTTCTGCGAATTACCGGCTTACGATTCGATGAGGGATGACGAGATGACAACAACCAAAAAAAAGACCAGAAAATCCTTTGTTTCGCTGATCTAGCCAAGTTTTAGACGTTTCTTTCTCTTTTTGGGGCAGCCCAACACGCGGTTTGGATGAAATGCTTTTTGAAAATCCCCGACTCACACAGTTTCACGAAGACTCTTGACCTGTTCTGGACTGATATTTTTTTTTTTTTTTTTTTTCCAACACTTTCTGATATTGCGGGCGCCTTGCATGCAAATCCATGGATTTCTATTTATGCTGTGTCGGAACGAACTCCACGACCCCGAACGCCTCCTGGTGATATGGGACGCATACGAAGAATGACACAAAAGACCTTTTGCCCATGGCAAAAGAAACGACAATACCAGCATCTTGCATATTCTTGTCTGTTTTAGTTTGTACATGGGGTGACTCGCATCCGTTTTAATGTTTCTGGCCCGTCTTATCCCGACAACTGCTTTCCCTTGGGAAATTCATGTTCGGTCTGTCCGGTAAGACGGTTGTGACATGTCTGTTTCTTCATTTTACTCTTTTTGCTTTCTTTCCCGCGTGCTTTGACTGCTTTCCCCTTTGACCGGACGTCGTTCGTCTCGCGGAATGGTAAAATCAGGGTGAATCCACAACTCTGTTGTTTTTGTTGCCCCAAAAATGAACCAGCTATATTGTGATTCTGCTACCTTCAATTGTGCCGATTCTACAGATCTACCTTCCGCAGTGTGAATGCATATTCTGCATTCCTGTGTCAGTGATGTTGATATATTTCCCAACTTCCATTCTGGAGGCTTGAATCTTCTTCATGTTTGGTATCTTGCAGTCCAGGGATCCTTTTTTTTCTTTTTTTTCATTGCCTTTTGCCTTTGTACTCAGATTCTCACAGTTCAATCCATGTACCTTCTACCTTACTTAGATCCTACCAGTAGGTAGGTCAAGATCATATCTGTGCGTAAATATTCTGGTAGAATCTCAACTTCGTACTTTTAACCTGAATTTCTTGGTCTCGTCGCTACAGCGATCTCTCACATTACGAACGACTCTCATTCCACCCAAATCGTTATATATATTGTAAGGAATCAACCCCAAAATTGAGATGCCAAGAAACAAATGACGCGGTCCCATATTGTTTATCTCTCGGAGTTATGCATGTTGGTCCCTGTCGATCCCCCGTGGAGCTAATACACGCCCTGATTATATATATGCAAGGTCATTTGAAGTATTTGTCCAATACAAATGTTTAGCCCCTCAAGAATGTGATATAGTTGGTCCGATCACGGAAGCACTGGGCCCGGATTTTACTCTACAATATATTCCAAGGTCCACGGGTGGCACATGCAAGTTTATAATCGCACAATTACTAGTAAATGAATGGTGAAGCACATCGAATCAGTAAAAATTCCCACTACCAGGATATCCCCATTTTCCCATTACAGCGCCCTATGAACTCGAAATGAAAAGAAACACGATTGAAAGCAAAGACCGGGGAATATCAGAAAAAAAATACATCAAAGTAGCGCGCCGTGAAGAACAAAGACGAGAGGACTGAAAAAAAGGGCAGCCAGGATTAGTCGTAGGTTTAGGAGTCAAGGTGTTGATGTCTCGACAGTACCTCCCGCGGGGGCAGCCCATTTTCTTTCGGAACTTTTCATATGTTGATTTAGAGCTCGATCTTGCCACCCTTCTTCTTTTGCTCGACCTTTAGGAGCAGCGCACGGTTGATGCGGGGCAGGACACCACCGAAGGCGATGGTTGCGCGGATGAGGGTATCCAATTCTTCATCACCACGGATGGCGAGCTGGAGGTGGCGAGGCGTGATACGCTTGACCTTGAGATCCTTGGCGGCGTTACCCGCCAGCTCGAGAACTTCGGCAGTCAGGTACTCGAGAACAGCGGTCACGTAGACGGCAGCTAGAGAAGAGAAGTGTTAGCGACGGGTCGTGTGGCAGATCAGTTCATGGGGAATAGCATACCCTTAGCACCGACACGCATCTTGTTCTGAGTGTTGTTCTTCAAGAAACGCTTGACACGACCACAGGGGAACTTGAAAGAGAATTTGTGTCAGCAGTCGCGTCATCTTAGACAGCTGGGGATTGGACGAAAACATGGTCGAGAGAGAGGGTATGCGACAGCATGGTATGAGTCCCATAGATATTGAAAGAAAATCCCCGTTATCGAGCAGCAACGAGGGACGGAGTCGACGCGTCTTCGAGGGGCAGTTTCATCGAGTAACTCATCGCCTGTATCGCATGACCCTTCTCAGACGACACGATTTCTAACCCAGCAGTTAGACAAGCTATGATTCCACTAACCTGCAGACCAGCCTTTGCGCTGTGAGACTTTTGGGCCTTCCCCGCAGCATCACCCTTTCCGCCCTTTCCACCGATAGACTTTCCCTTTCCGCCAGGCATTGCGAAATAAATGTGCGAAGACGGTCGCAGATGTAGTTATAGCAGATAGAAACAGAAATCAACACGATTTGGCAGTGGTGTGGATGTGGAGACGATTCAGAGTGCGGAAGATACGCGCGTTGTTGATGGATGGAGAAGTCAGAATGTGCCAGTCGCCGGCTGTGCCAAAAAGACATTTGGCGCTAGTCCCAAAAGGGAACCGTCCTTTCTCATGGCGTTGGAATTCTTGCCTGTATATAAGGCCATCTGTAGGCTCATTCGCATGATCTAGAGATTAGTTGCCGTAAGGGTCATCATTTCTTTTTCTCTTTCTCAAAAAATAGACAGAAGCCATGATTAGTTTTGGTATGAGAGGAGACCATGATGGAAGCCAGTGCGCCTTCAGCTGTCTGGATGGAATGGATGCCTTTGGCCTCTATGGCTAGGATTCACATATGAAAATGCTGTATTTGCCATAATACACACCATTGTGCAACTTCAAATCAAAATGCAAGTCCACTGAGGTGGTGGTTGCTGATGTTTTGCAAAATAAGCTGGTCTGGTTTGAAGCTGGACCATCACAGCTACCAGCTATGACCAGCAGTGGGGGAGGTCACATGATATAATTGCCTTATATATCAGGCGACAGGTCTACCCAGATAACTTAATGCCTCAGGTGGCGAACCGATGGCGATATAGATAGTACCGGAAGAACTGTTCATCCGGCTCCCTGACCTTCCAGAAATGCCAGGTGGCCCGCGACTTTCAAGTTTTGTTCGTGTGTACTCCCCCATATTCAACGATTTCCCCATATTGAACAGTATCCGGCAAAATGGTGTCTCCTCAAATGTATGCTTGATCGACAAGTTCTCGATTTCAATCAAAATCTATCTTATATACGAAAACTGACAATGATCGCACAGTACCAACCTCGCCATCATCTTGGTGATGATGCAGCTGGCCAAGAAGGTTCCCTTTGAGGATCCTCAGGTCCTGATGCTGGTGCGCGGATGCTACATCTTGTCCAATGTCCTCATCCTGGCTGTCCACCTATACACCCAGTTGAAGATCAACCAAAAGAAGGGTATGCCGACCGATCGCGTGCTGTCCCCACAATGATCAAAACTAATGCAATATCTCCCAGACATGACAACCCTCAAGTACGTTGAGCCCGCCACGATGGGTAGCACCGAGGAGCCCAAGCCCGTGACGACCACCAACATGGACTATGACAAGGCTCAGCTGCGCCAGCTGCTCCGCAGCCAGCTTATGGGTGTCGGCATGATGGGTGTGATGCACCTGTACTTCCAGTACACCAACCCCCTCCTCATTCAGTCGATCATCCCCCTCAAGGGCGCCTTCGAGTCCAACCTGGCCAAGATTCACGTCTTCGGCAAGCCCGCTACTGGTGATCTCGCCCGTCCCTTCAAGGCCGCCGGTGGCTTCATGTCCCAGGGCGGACCTAAGAGCGACAAGGCCTCCATTGAGGCCGCTGAGAAGAACTGGCGCGGTGGTGTCAAGGAGGAATAAATTCAGACGCTGGGTTGCTCTAGGTCATCAATTGATTTCCCCTATGGGTAGTCGATGGCCGATCTGAATGATAACACACTGTTCATTTCTCCCCATTGTACCATAATCCATAATTCATCCTATTAAGTCCGGCCCCTCCTTTCTCTAGGTAAGGTCTGGACTATATCGTTAATCTTTGTGAATCCCCTGGTCATACCATTTCCCTTGTATTGTACGATCTAAATCTTGTACCAAAGGACGTTCAGTCATGGCACCTTTTTGGAGATTGCGCCACTGGTGTGTCGGCTCCGAGTTCCATGCTGATATGGCCTGATGAGGTTGAAAGGTTAACATAGCGCAGGGATCATCAGGTCCAGATTGTACTTTGTCAGGATTCATTTCATGATCTTGTTGAGGCAAATAGGATTTCTAATCCATTGATTCGTCCAGGGCTTCCCAAGGTTGGAATATTGGGGACCCCAGTAGTTTAAACCCCTCAAGGCTCAAATAATTCAAATAATTCAAAACAAAACAATCCAAAGAAAAATCTGCCAGATCCCGTGGCCCCATATGTTGAGATACCGGTGACTCCTTTCAGGGCGGAGGGAGCCACCAAATTATATCACCATACTCGATCCGTCCACCGCAGGGGTTTGAACAATACGGTTGGCCCGCACAAGTGGAGGATCACAGGGATTTATGTAGTTAGAAGGGTTACTGGGATAATTATATTAATTCTATGAGTTTAACTGGTTGTATGTATATTTACTCCGTACAACGTAGTTAGTTTACATATACAACATAGGTACCTTACCTAAGGTATGTTTTTGCCCCTCAATGCCATTGCCCCTCCAACCCTCTCAGCGTCATAGGTCTCCCCTTAGTCAACCTCGGGAATCTCTTCAATTTAGTACCTAAGATTATCGTGATCATTTCCGTTGTACCCGGATAGACACCGAGTAGGCAAAATATTCAAGAGAAAGCTCCGAAAAATAGTAACAACCCGAAGAGCAGGTTGAGTTTGTCGCATTCCTATTGGTAGACGGGAGCTACCGAGGGGCAGAGTAGGGCCCCAATATCGTGGCTCTTCCTGCTTTCCCCGGTGTATGAAACCGGAAATGGGTTGCTGGGCAGATGTGCAAGCGGCAACAGTCGGGAAATCTAGTTCGGTCTGATCTTTGTAGAAGGGGGGATGTTGGCTGTGCTGGCTGTGAGTTGACAGTCCCCGTCCGTCTCTTCGGTGAGGGGTGATCTGTCCATTGCGTCAGTCATCCATTCATTAATCCTCCCCCTCCCCCAGATCTTTTTTTTCTTCTTCTCTTTCTTCTCCATCCTAGTTCCTCCCTTTCTTCAATTACTTCACTATTACAGTAAGCTCATCATTCTCTTATCATCTATCCCTCTTATACATGATCTAACAACTTCTAGTAAACCGCAATCATGGTTGTTCAAGTTGGTATCAACGGTTTCGGTCGTATTGGCCGCATTGTAAGTGATTATCTTCACACCACAATTTCAGCTTCAGATACTAACAACTTCACAGGTCTTCCGCAATGCGTAAGTTGCACACTGGTCGAAGAAAGAAGAAGAAAAAAACAAGACCCGAGAAGCATACTAACCCATATCTATAGTATCAACAACCCCGATGTTGAGGTTGTCGCTGTCAACGACCCCTTCATTGAGACTCACTACGCTGTATGTTTCTTTCAATCAATTGGTTCTATAGCCTGGTATTAACCTTCCATTTGCGGGATAGGCCTACATGCTCAAGTATGACTCCACCCACGGTCAGTTCAAGGGTGAGATCGAGCACGTCGAGGACGGTCTCATCGTCAACGGCAAGAAGGTCACCTTCTTCACCGAGCGTGACCCCGCTGCCATCCCCTGGGGTAAGGCCGGTGCCGCCTACATTGTCGAGTCCACCGGTGTCTTCACCACTCAGGAGAAGGCCTCTGCTCACTTGAAGGGTGGTGCCAAGAAGGTCATCATCTCCGCTCCCTCCGCCGATGCCCCCATGTTCGTCATGGGTGTCAACAACAAGTCTTACACCAAGGATATCAACGTCCTCTCCAACGCCTCTTGCACCACCAACTGCTTGGCTCCTCTCGCCAAGGTCATCAACGATAACTTCGGTATCGTTGAGGGTCTCATGACCACCGTCCACTCCTACACCGCCACCCAGAAGACCGTCGATGCTCCTTCCTCCAAGGACTGGCGTGGTGGCCGTACTGCGGCCCAGAACATTATCCCCTCCTCCACCGGTGCCGCCAAGGCTGTCGGCAAGGTTATCCCCGAGCTCAACGGCAAGCTCACCGGTATGGCCATGCGTGTCCCCACCGCCAACGTCTCCGTTGTCGACCTTACCTGCCGCATCGAGAAGGGTGCCACCTACGAGGAGATCAAGGCCGTCGTCAAGGCCGCTTCCGAGAACGGCGAGCTTAAGGGTGAGTTAACCTTCTTCAGTACGCTTACTGCACAACATATTGACAAACTATTCTTTAGGAATCCTTGGCTACACTGAGGACCAGGTTGTCTCGACCGATCTTAACGGTGATGAGCGCTCCTCCATCTTCGATGCCGCCGCCGGTATCGCCCTTAACGCCAACTTCATCAAGCTTGTCTCCTGGTACGACAACGAGTGGGGTTACTCCCGCCGTGTTGTTGACCTCATCTCCTACATTGCCGGTGTCGATTCCCAGTAGGAATCAGGACAGCGTCCTGGGGTCAGAAGTGTTCTTTAAGGTGCTGGGTTCCTTGTCGCACAACCTACAAATATGGGTGCATGAGGGCTCCGTCTTTTAGACAAAAGCAAGATGATAATGTCATTTAATGAAGCAAACCATTCCCAATTCATCCTTTTCCAATAATTTACCATTGTAGGCCGTATATACCCCTTTTGATTAGGACGACTTTACGTGTCTATGTGCGGTCAACCTATGTATTAGTCCCAAGGTATTTTCATACTAAAATTAGGATCTTGCATGCTTTTCATTGGAAGACCCTCGGGAGGTGTGCTGTAGCCTACAAAATAACCACACAACCACCTGCATATGTATATGTAGGTACATCGCATGTTGTACATTGAAAAGTCTTCTCACCGGATTCCACAGGCTACAGTTAATCATTATCCTTTTGGCCATAACATGTATATCGAGAAGACAAAATATCTAAAACTATATGAAATAACCATCTAAAAAGCATTATAGCACGCCTCTAATATAACCTAGAGCTAACTTATACGTAAATATCTAGATCGCCAAGTTAGAAGCCGCATAAGTGACTGACTGTTTTTGTAGATATTATTAAAAGTTGCCTGAGATTACAAGTTGCAATATTCTTATCCATGAGGTATTTGAGATTGAAAACCAAACAATTCATCCTACTTCGTACTCGGAACCCTTTCAACACATAAATGATAAGCCCTCTAAACCGTGCAGGTCGATAAATCAGCACATATTAAATGCTCACCGCCAATTATAATGCATCACGCCAACCCATTCCTAGCGGCGGTA